AAGAAAATATCCGAAAAAATGATATTAGGATAGCATTTATATTAAAAAATCCTGTCTGTATTCTGTGTGGAAGTTCAAAATATGTTATTCAGCAGAAAGCTTAGATATTATTGCTACTTTTTATTTGAATCTTAAACTTTACACTAACATCACCTTGTGTAATTTGCTTTACAGATGCTTCATACTTCAGCTAGGCCATCAAAACTGAAACAGTGCAGTGTCTATAATGTCTCGAGAAGTCAGCAAACTACTGATAATTATCTCAAAGCCTTGGCTTATCGTCAGGAACCGTACCTTTAGCAGATAACAACAGATGATGGTCTAAAGAGAGAGAGAGAGTAACTAAAAATATTTTACCAAAAGTGAACCCATATATTTATCAATCTCCTAAACCATTGTTAGGTGCTTCAAGTCTACATATAAATATTCTGTCAACTGCAAAAGATACTGACTGAACTATCTCATTGGAAAGTAACTAGTCATCATCATAAACTTCCAGTCTAAGTATGTTTGAGAACTATGTCGAAAGACTGGTTAACCTTGATGGAAGTCAGGAAAAAGCGAAAATCATTATCCATAAAATCAAGACAAAAGAATACTCGTTGTTGAAGGGATTAATTAACCATCTGAATATATTAATGATGCTGATTTCCAATAAAGCAAAGGGAAACGTGGTAATTGAATAATGCGGAAAGTTGAGTAACAGCCATTGATAAATCGACATTATCCTCCAAGAGATATATTTTTCTTGCTTCACTGATAATCTTCGTGTGAATAAAGTGGACAATTATTTGTTGCACAATAAGCACAAAAACGGTTTATTCTCATAGCTTAGAAATTTTTTGAAAGCAAATGTTCATTGAATTTCCATCCATAACATACATTTCACCTGCAATAACTTTTACATTTTTGTTAAAATTTATAGATTTATAATCACGTTAATCTTTCTCTTGCACAATACACCAATCTCTTAAAATCTTCTGGTGATATTCGATACCTGAAGATTTCAAAGTTTCCATTTACTGGAAGCAATTTGAAGATACTAAAATTATCTGTACTAAGAAAAGCCACGGTTTTATTTATATCTATACCAGCATAAATATAATTATCTTAATCGACCTTATTAGACTTTTAACACAGTGTCGTAAGGAAAAAAGAGAATACTACTGAAGACAACTTAAGGCATTATAGCCACTAAATTTAAAATAATATCATTAGTAAATCACACCAAAAGAAATTTTCTGCTACAACTACCTGCATTTCAGTATAGTAAAGATAAACTACGTTTAACATTACTGAAATTGTGGACCCAGCTGAAGAGGACGGCAGAAAACAGAACGAATAGGAGATGTGTTGCTGAAGCCCTTTGTTCCACTCTGAACGCAAGGGAATAATAATGATAAATAACAAACATTACTGAAAGTAGCGAGAATGTACTTTGCCCATGAGATATTCAGTAAAAGGAAATCAAATTGATATTTGACTGGTGTCAGTTTAATCTTCTTTAACATCTTAAATAGTAACAAATATGACAAATGTAGACAGTTACATCTTAAATCGTACTCACTACTACCATAAAATTGAGACTGAAATATCTCTATATAGTGTGAAACTGGAGATCAGAAAAGTATAAACGGAGTATTTTACTTTATTCCTCTGAGTCCATTTTTAAAAGTAAAGCAAAACAATGTTCTCAAATATTTCTGTTAATAAACACTGCCTGTCAAATTTTGCATCTTTTTCTTGCTTCTTTGAACTTCACTGATATGAGTTTTATTTGCATATATTCTGACTGCCGAAAATACTGAAGATATATAAAAAGACAAATCCGTTTAATGCTTCTTACTAAACAAACAAAAGAAGCACCCTCCACTTGACTTTGAAGGCTTAAGTGTAACAAAAAATCAGTAGAGTGCAGTATTCAGAATTCTTGAGTAAATTGGACATATTCCGAAGTAAAACTTACCTAACAGCAGTACTTTTCGCCATTATCTATGTGAAACCAATAGCAATTTACTTAACGACACTTAAAGCGTCACATCATAATCTGCTTTATTGAGATATTTCAGTCTTTATTCTTACATGATGCAAATTTATTGCACAAATCACTTTCTTCCCCAGATCTTCTCATAAAAGTGTAGAATAGATAGCGTTAAAACCAATATACACACACTTATTTTAATCCCCACCTCTTAATGTGCGTACAAAATAGCTCCACATTTGTAGTAAACTCCGAAGCTTGTTGTATAACTCAGAAATATTGATAAGAATTAATAAAATCTCGCTCGAACGTTTCAGTGAATGAAAATCTCAAAGTCAATAAATTCAGGATAATACTGAGTTGAAGAATTGAGGTCCATATATTAAATCATAACCAACTTGTAGCCAAGAATTAATTTTAAAAATTCAGCAAAAGGGAGCAAAACCACTAATTCTCTTATTGTTATCCATAAGATGAAAGCAGACCGAGCAGTCATTGACCCCGAAGTCTTGCCACAGTGCATGATATATAAACAGCTTCTTCATCAAAATCGGGGACCTCCACACGGATGGAGTCTTTCAGAAGTAATTTTAAAAATCAGAAGCAATTAGTAGGGCTCGTGATTTGACTTACTGAGAGAGACCGGTTTTTTAATAACTTAAGCCTAAGTTGTAATATGAATTGACAAAATTCTAGAGAGAAGATAATGTGGCAATTTTCAGATAAAAAAGGTCTTTAAAATAACTAATTAGATGCATATGATATCAAGTTTAGCCTAACGCTACAAAGTTATACGACTGGAGAATATAATAAATAATCTTAAGTATTAGACCACAGTATATGTTATGTGTGAAATAAAATGAATGATTGATACACAATGCTTGGAATTTTGCTGGTAATGAGCTATGTTTTATAAGTAAATGAGGCATTTACATACTTTAGCTTTGTATGAATGGCTGAAAATGGTTACGTTAGTTCTTTAGTGTGCCAATGTCATGTTTAACTGTTGCCTTTGAAAAAACGTCATAAGACTTCTTGTTATTATCCAAGTAGGCTATGCAACATCAATGGCTATTAAACAAATGACTGTTACTCAGTGAAATGAAGCCGTTTTCAGTATATTTTAAAAGACCATATCTCTCTATCGAAACATTATTTGTGGCATGCTTATCTGGTTGGACTTAACGTAGTCGAAAAATCAGTTTATTAATATAATTTCAGTAAATATGTGTATAAATAGTAAAAGTAGTTTAGGCCGCCATTTACTATGAAAATATGTTAAAAGCACTATTGGAAAAAAGCGAAGAGTAACTAAGACTGAAAATTTGGTACTAAGTTCAGATTGTTTATTGATGAGTACGCCATAGGGAATAGTCTGAAATTCGAAAAACAGCTGGTAGGCACGATGATTGTTTCATTCACTTATTATTGCAATTATAAAGCCTCCATTAATATTGTTAAGGCCTAATAATGTGGTAAAACTTTGAAATCGTTAACATACATGCACAAAATATTAAAATCTGCTTTAATGTCTTGAGATCACTTGTATCTGCTGTAATATATAAATATAAATGTATGTTTGTATGAAGTAAGTATCAAGAAATGAAAACAAATCCCTCACGGTCAAAATCTTTTGCAAAAGTCTAACATTTGTCTCAATTACTCTATGGGAATCGACTAAGCGCATACACTTAAAATTGCATCAAGCCAGAACTAAAAGCAGGTTTAAATTTGACTTAAAGAAAGATTAGCAGACAAGAGCTAACCATTTCATTATATAGAAGCATCACAAATTAGGCGTGCTTGAAGAACAGTAGAAATTAGATTCACTTTTCAGACATAAGTTTAAGATTGCGAATTCCGTCCCTCATCTTGGGATTGAAGTACACATATGGTGAGGAGTAGGTATAAATGAGCGTTAATACCGCTAAAAGTTTAAGCAAAGGGCGATGGAAAAAACCCATTGCTGGAAACGTCAATAATAAATGCTTAATTCAGAGTCTTGGAAAATTTTGAGGTGATCAGTACTGTTCACCCTAAAATGATTCAGTCTTCATGCAGAAAAGAATTAATCAGGATAACTGAATTTTAATATATTTTATCTATGAAATTACCCATGGACATATACATGTACACACATGTGTTTATAAGAATCAAGTCAAAATAAAGATATTGGTATTCAGAAAATATGTGTCGTGATTAAATTCCCATTTTAGATAGAGAGGTTAATTTGGAAAACCTAACTGTCATATTTATTTAGGATCCTCAAATGACTACATTTACTGCAAAATAATTTATAAATTTCATATGATTTTGTCAAAACTACCTGTGTAATTCTCATTTACAAGTATATCTGGCCTTGCTAACTACTTAAAATGAGGTGAGGATTTAGGCTGACACCAGTGATTACTTTACTATTTTGAAGTCATAGAAATAGGAAGATCACAAAATGTTCGCTTTTATCGAAGCAAGTTCATCAATTACTCTTTAAGACAGCAAGTATATTTTGTGTAGTACTGAAACCGTATTAATCTGCCTCTTAATTCATATTCATTATATTGATCGTTTGCTTAAGCTACCCCATTTCAGAAATTGCAGGCGTGAACCCAGTGAACTCTTCATGTCATTTTATTACGAATATTCAATAAATGTGCCAAAAGCTTCTCTAGCTGAATCATAATGCCACCTAAAAAGCGAACATTTTATAAAATTCGAATTAATCGAACAATAAAGTAGAAAATTAATTTTTCATTAGTGAGAATCCATATATATCAGGTTTTTTATTCCAGTTAAAATTAACATAATTCTTCAAAGATCTACCAATCAGTGTCATTAAAATACTAATAAATGGTGATCTACTGCACTATAAGCTGGTATACATATAAATATTTTTGTGTCAACTTTTTCTGTGACCACACAACGTCGAATAAAAACTTTCTTAGTAAAAATCCAGGAATGTATGAATAATATCGAGCTGTTAGTCAGAAAATGATGAAACACTAATCCTACTTTAACTAACCTTTAACAAATCACCTTGTTTAAAAGACCACCACTTATTTCCCCCAAATGAAGGTCAAGTTAGAGTATTTAAACTGAATTCAGTCTAAAAATGTATATTGCTTTACATGGATTAGCACGCATACATTTGATAAAGTAAAGATATTTGATGCCTTTTATGTCTGTATTCTGAAGTTTTCATTTCAGTAACTACATGTTAAAAACCTTGGAATGAATTATTCAGGATGAAATCAAATGAAACTGTCTCCACAGTAACTGTTCGAGATCCAGTTGGATGCGAAAAAAATGATGATCACACTTTTTTATAGTATCACTAATGGTCTTAAAATCAGTGAAATCAGTGGACTAGCTTCACTCCAATCTGTGATTTTGAGTCTCTAATTGCTGTTCATTTTCTAGTGTCTTCTCCCTTGAGTATACGAAGCTCTTCACCAGTAAGCTTTGCTTTTTGATGAAATAAATCTGTAACCATTCAGCCAAATCAGTTACTTTTCACCAGTTATTTACTTATTTAAACCTTCTGAACAATTCATACCCAAATCGTTTCAAGATTTGAGTATTGCAGCACCTTGATTATACCCACCATCTACACTGTTTACTGGCTAGCTAGCAGGAGTCTGGTGTGTGAAGTATGTCACATGAGTTATGACTGAACAAATTATGCAGTCCTCGAAATAAATAAGATGGTCGGAAAATATGAACATTGGTTATGTGGTATGCACTGCCACTTAGAATCCAGGTGGTTAAAATTGTTGGTAAGAAAGGCTGAGACTCCTGGAGTATTTAAATCAACTGTGGTCTAGATGAAAACGCATTCCTACTACATATGAATGCAAGACATATTTAATTATCAACTTCCTTCAAGTACTACTAGATGTGAATATAAACATAAGAGTTGGTTGGGTACTACATAATTCTTTTTGCAAATTTTGAATTATGGCGTTTCATTCACACGATTTGCAGCTTATGGATTGGGATGAGAGTAAGTGGTGTATGTACAGACAACCAGAGAAAATGGAGACCTACACAATGAAATAAATGGGTGAAACACCTGGCAGAACTATTTACGTAAGTGAGGATTATCGCGAAGTACCCATGGTTTGCGTCAGTGACACAGTGGCATAATGCATGAGGAACACGCATGTAGTCCGAGGTTCGATCTCTTTTGACTCACTCGGCCAGTATTATTGCTGGCAAGGAGGGAAGTTTGGGCATGAGGCCAGCAACTCTGTCATGTAAAAATAAATACTACTGCTACAGAAACTACAAGCCTTCAGGTTGAAGTTTATCACTTAGCGACATGTAAGTTGAGAAATCAGCTGCAGGTTATTGGGGCATTGCAAGAGTCACAGTTATTAGATCAAACAGATATTTATCACCAATTCGCAAGACTAATTAATTTTATTATCCCGATTATGTGTATCTTTTTAAACGATGTACGTTTAAATGCATTACTGAAATCACCAACGTATGCAACTGAAATCTTAGTATAATACAGCTTCTGAAGACGAGGTGGTGTTGAGTTCTGTGCGAGATACAATGTGTACCAACGGAAGTTCTTTCACACACAACTGTAAACGAATTCATTCAGAGGAAACCAAAGTCAAATCAAAACACCGGATTAATAGTCTGGAGAACAAAATGTATTTCAGGATCAAATCGTTGGGTGGTGTTGAGTGCTTGGCTAGACAGTTCAAGAACGAACGTAACACAATGGCTTGCCAAATGGCCTGGATGATTATCCGTAACACCCCAGCTTAACGAATCGATTTGAACATTGGAAGTGACCATCCGATGTCGAGTAGTGAATGCATTAGGCTAACAATTTTTTGTAATTATTAACTGGTGCACACTAATGACCCACAACTGCAAAAGAGATTAGTGGTTAGTATATTATATTTTATTCTGAGTATGGTGATAGGTGATATTAAGTGGTTTACCAACACACATTGTTGTTCATCACACACCAATTTTAAATTTCCTTAGCACGTATCAAGTCAATATGGGCTTTATATTACCGATTGGTTTGAAAGTGCACATACTGTTGTATAGTAAATGGTGAACTGATTTTGAGGGACTACAGGTCAAGTCATGACCACTTTACATGCAATTTTGTTTACCTTGTCTATGTTGTTTTTGGTGATTATCTACGACCGTGGATGCAAACTGAGATTACGCTGTCTGTAATTTCTCTAAACTAATCGCAGTGCGAAAACGCATTTTGACAGAAGTACCACAAGAAGTATGAGGACACAACAATGCAACACAATATGGCCAACACCATCCTACCCATTTAAACCCAAATTGTCCGTGTGCTCTTCTTTCTTGTAATTTCAACGGCATAGTGGAGGGGCAAACATCCCAAGCTCAACTAGATCCACAAGTTCCTTTGGTACCTTAAATTTAACCCACAGGTTATTCAGTGATAAACCAAATTTCCAAACTAATTTTTATAGGTACTCTATATACCTTGGTGTAAGAAGTACAAATCTCCCCATAGGAGCTACATTAAACCTAAACTTTCGATAAAAATGGCATGCATCTGACGTAAATTTAATGTCTTCATGAAAATACGTATACATCGCAACTACTTACTTACTGCTTGGTGATATACGAGCTAAGTAAGGGACTGGAAGTAAATCGCACCACTGAGAAACATAATACGCTTTATTCATGAAGTGCCACACCTGCGAATTTGATAAGCACCGCAGTTTAATAATAAATAGTGAATATATCTAGTGTGCTTTCTATACAGAGCTAAAAAGGATTTCAAGGAAACTGTCCTGCCTTGATGAGAATATTTTAAATCCCTTCTAAATAATATATGTACCATTTCGCAGAAATTTCGACGATTTAAACATATGATTTGCTTGCTAAAATACGAAGAACTAGAATTCCCGACAGGCAACTTAGTCGGAATAAGGAATTCCTTGTCAGCACAAGATGTAGATTAAGGACCATCTACAATTATGCTCGGGGAATGACAGTACAAAGTGGAATGCATTAAGACATATTACAATATTCATTATTCTTCGATTCTTGTGGACACTAATAAGTGGGACACGGAATCGCCCACATTTATTTTTCTTGATAATTTACAAGTCTGTAGACAGCTTCCGACAGGCAGTGTACATATAACACAGAAAAACCAACAGCTCGTTTGCTTTCTTGTCAAACTACAAATCATTTTAGCAGTCATTATAATGTTATCGTCAAAATAAAGTGATCTGGTTTCACTACTTTTGGGTGCACTGGCTTGGATTATTTGAAATTGTCAGGTCCCCTTGCCAACAACTGGACGGAAGTTGATTTTATGCCGGAATAGATTATAAAAACGTATAACATCCAAAATACAACGAAGTGCAGTGGCACAAAAAGAGCCGATGACGAAATAATACGACAATATCTGTGGCAAAACAAGGTATTCAGTGAAGTTCTTATCGACCCTTTACTGTTAGAAGCAGAAAAGATTACTGTGACAAAAAGGCCCCTATGAGCCTAACATTTCAAAAAATAGCTGATGGTCGGAGAACGGGGATCCGAATCAGATATGTACCATACACTTTACTTCTTGGTACTTTTAAGGAGATTCTCCTACTTAATTTGCCTTCCAAATGCACGCCAAAATGAGTCATCTCTTTCATCTGCACGTGGTAGCGACTGAATTGCAGACAAATAAATACTACAGGATGGTAAGTACAGGGCCGGATAGTTCACATCTCTCCTCTGCAGTCATCTTCATTGGTCTACAAGAGTCACAAAAATGAAACCTATCACCACAAATCAGTTTTACAGAATCCAGATGAGGTGATATGATTTTCTGATCACCTGAAATCCTAGGGTATAGAGTGTTTCTCATAGGCCAACTTCCCCCTGTAGCCACTTGAATATCTGTGAATATACAGCATAAGACCTAGAGCAGGTGTGACACCTTTTAAAGGTCAAATGTGTATTGATTCGAGATTGTTCAAAAAACATGATTATTGTCAATAAAAATCGTTATTTAACTTTTGTGGATCTTTAGCCACAAAAACCGATGAAGAAATTATGAAAAACGATACTCGTTTCTTACTATTGGGTCTTTTTAAGTTATAACGGAGATCATTAACAGCAACACACAACTGTGAGAAGGTGAAAACATCTCACGTCATTCAAAACTAGTTAATTTTACCACCGTTAGTCCGTTGGCCTATTTCTACTGTTCATAGCCAATAGGATATACCTAGGTAAATTGAGACCTGAGGGGAGAGTAAGATAATGATTCAGATAAACCTACATATAATGTTTAGAGAATCGGCATTTAGATCCATGTCCTGTATTAATAATGAGTCAGATAATAGAAACATACATGTTTCGCAGCACACAGACATGCATTAGGCGAGCCGCCACAAAGAATCCTTAAACAGTATTTCTAGCCAGAACTAGTAAGTAAATTAACTGTAAACTCTTTTTCTGGCACAATTTGTTTTCTGAGAGTTTTACGCGAACAGCTTATTTCTGAATTCCCTTCAGTTTTGAGTGGAGTGCAGATTCTCATGTCTTGAAGTTTCACTAGAGGTATTTTTTAACAGGATCTTGCCTGCCTCGCTTCAAATTCCCCCCTTTTTTTGCCTACTACCAGTTAGCAAACTTATTGACGTACCTACTGGGGTATGCAGGCTGAGAATCAAGGGCAGACCTTCTCAGTGACTGGGGATTATTCTGCAAATCAATCATTGACATAAATCAGTGTTTGCCCCTTTTTTGTATTTCTGGTCATATTCGTTAGCCATCATCAAAGGTAAAGTTTGCATTTTTGTCCAAATACCTCATACAATTCGAAAGCAATTAAAAGATCAGTAACAAAACACGCTACAAATAGCCAACTTTCCTCTCAGGAAGTGACTTTTCCACTTTTGAATGAAGCAGACATCAGTGAGATCCAGTCACTTGTTTCTGTGTAACAGCCTAGTAGAAATGGTGGAATGTTTTGATATAAAAGATGTTTCTGGCTCTTTAAAGTGCTGGTTTACTCCAAAAGTCTTTGATTTATGTAATCTCCAGATTGAGGCTTAGGTGGCTTGTCAAGGAAGAAACCAAATGCATGCGTAGTGGAGAATTATTAATGCATACTCGGACCTTGTTATCACAGGTAGTCTGAATCATAATGCAAAAATTAGATCAAGACTCCATTCAATTAGAAAAATGACTCGGAAGAAGAACGTATGTTTCTGGATGGACTTGCCAGCAACTCCATATGTAACCGTCACTGGGAAAGTTTCAAAGAAAGAAAGGAACATTAAAAAAATCCGATGTCCATCAAAATCAGAAGCCACGTTTACAAATTTACTAAAGCCCCACTCATCTCGCCACATTAAGTGAAATCGTCTGACATGGAGAACGTAGAAGACCAATTTGAAGCGATCAGAAGCTGCTCCTTCACAACAATGGTAAGTGATTCTTCTTATTTCTTGAAGTCTTCAAGGTATGTTTCTTTACATTATTTGCTGGTTGTGAAATCTACCTGACTTCGTACAAGGTGTAGTTATTTTTTTATTTGGCACCAGTCAGTAACAAGTATAATGTGTCTAGTCCTGACTTTGGTGCATGGTGGACACAATGTAAACTTGACTGATAGAGTTCAGCCTGCACCAAAGGTACGACTAGATACATTACATCAGTTACTGACTAGAGTACAACCAAAATGTTCCAACACAGCCCTACAGGAGGTCAATCTCTAGCCCGAATAGCCAGTGGTAACGTCTCAGACTGCAACACTGGGTGACGCGGGATCGAGTCTCAGAAGGGAAATGAGTTCTTTCAAGGTTGCAGATACGCCTTGTTGACTGGTGAGTGTCAGCTAGCGCAATACATAAGTCGAAGGCTTCCTGCTGACTACCGCTAACCATCTAATAGCAGCAAGGTGTAGTTATGACGCATCTACTTTAGGAAGAAATTTAGACTTCTACTTTAGAAGCTCACATCCTGGAAATAAGAATTTAAAAGTGGTTTATGAAGATACTGCCTGCGAATAGTCTCCGACTGAGAAGGAAAACAACTTTCACAATTCTTCCCTTGTCTTCTTGTACACATACTTAAGCTCCAGAGGCACCTTCTATCTGTTCAGGTAATTGCAGGACTGCCATAGCCCTGAAACCTCTTCCTTTTGTTATCTTAACATGAAGTCCTTTATAAATATAAGCCACGTTGTGATTCTAAAAAAGTTAATTTCAGAAGGTTTTTGGGAGGAACGGGTTAAGCATGCATCTAAGCGCCTATTATATTAGTTAAGATTATCTCTTTTCATATATGACGACATGTATTTTATTTACCTAAAAGCCGTTCCATAATGATAATAAATCACTGCATCAGATTCCTGTCAAGCGCAAATTCTTTGAGATGAATCGTACAGCATCGTAAACATTCAGACGCAAAGTAATAGTTTAAATGGTATGTGTTTGGTCATTTCAGTCTGGGTACCTTTTTTGGTCCTTATTGCCTAAGGACGCATCAAATTCTATTCTACTTATTTTTTGTACATAAGTCATCGACCCAGAAATTCTCCAGGCAGTGGAAGGCTCAGTAGTTTACCGAAACATTTTGATGTGCTGAAATAACCATTCTGTCTCATATCACAGATCAGAATTTCTACGGCTTCAATGTCCACAAGAACATAGTAGAGCTGACACACTTCATATCTGTTATGATAAGCCAAGAAAAGTCGGATTTTATCTTTTATCTTTCTATATACTAAGTATCTTATCCGTATACAAACACTGGGTCATCTTAATTGAATTAATAATCCCCACATAAACATGAAACAAAGATTTTAACCAAGGAAATTCTCTACTTGACAATTGCATTTTTTGCTGTGCAATGGTCTTTATGTGTGAATTACAAAAAGAATAAAAAGTTGTGTTCAAGTTTGACTGTAAGTGGTTAATATGGGGTTATGAATGAAGAATGGATCAGATATATTAGACGTGTTTTTAAAAATCTTATGCGACCAGGAAAATGAAGCGGAAACTAAGTGCTATTCTGTGTAACGGACACAGAAAGCAGCCATCATTCAGTCCAATTACTTTACTTATCGAGCATTGAAGTTTGAAATTGTGTCAGGGAATTTTGACCGGTGAGAGTGGCGTGACCTTGTGACCTGTAAATGCCAAAATCCGTTTGCATTGGTTACTTTCCATCCCATCTCGCCTTCACAGTGGATGCGTAGTTATTGTTATCACATCAGGTATGAAGCGTAGCAGGTTTTTAATTTTTTAACATTCTGTTGATATCCTGGTCAAGGCGAAATTGGAGTACTTCAATTTCGCTGTGTTACGTATTACAGGTCTTTCGAAAGCTGACCTTCAAAGACAGACCAGATACAGAGAATGTTATGAAATGTCATTCGAAATCAAATCATGCCTGTTGTTTTAAACTTGGAGAGGATGGATAAAGTATCCGTCTGATTTACTACGTACTTTTTCTGCAAATCTGTACTGTTAAGTAGCTTCATATTCCTAAAGTTATGGCGTTTAATATTAAGGTTTAGGATCTAGGGATAAGATTACGTATAGGGTTAAAGTTAGGATCATGGGTAGAGTTTGGAGTAGGTGCAAGAATGGTGTCGTAAATACTAATGGATCTCAAAGTACCATGACTTACAGTCATGGGTATATGATTTCTGTGTATTAGCTGGGAGACATTTTTACAACACATAAACTACAACTATACAGTGTATTAATATGTTAGCGGTAGTTTTTTAGTTGCATAATTGTTGAAAAATACACTGTTTTGCATCTGAATTCTCACCGGTTGTCTAAGGTCACTGTGATTCTGGCTGTAATAGCTTAACTTTCCCTCTGTCAAAATACAAGACTTCTAGTGAGACAGTCGGGTCGAGTGTATTATGTAACATACATTCCATCATATATGACAAAGAATATGTTATATAATAATAGACGTTAAGTGCACATTAAATTTGGTCGTTTAAATAATAGTTACTTATAAGGGACCAACAGAATGAGTGACTTCATGTTAAGATAACAAAAAGGAAGAGGCTTCAGGGCTATTGCAGTCCTGCAATTACCTGAACAGATAGAAGGCGCCTCTGGAGCTTAAGAATGTGTACAAGAAGACAAGGGAAGAATTGTGAAAGTTGTTTTCCTTCTCAGTCGGAGACTATTATCAGTCGGTCGATTGATATTTAAAGTTTTAACTTTCACTCGGCATCATTTTATCGTCAACCTTCGTTTCTTGTTGGTTGGTTAACTTAATTTTTTAACTGTTGTAATGAGTATCATATATTGTTTAGGAAATTTATCTAAGTTTATGTGCAAGTTATTAAATTCTCGTCAAATCACTTGTTGACATTTAGCTTTGGTTTTGTTAATGGGCGACCTCGTCAGTCATGTGATTTTTATTTGTAAGAGCATGTACTTGTCTCTCCATATGCCGTATAGGACTGAATGCTGCACACATGACAATGCAACATAGTTTTTGGTTTATGCAGATTGTTGTGAGCAACCTGTGGATGGAGAAGCCTAAGGATAGTGAAAGTGTTACATAATCCCTCAATTCCTACTTTAGTATCGGATAACTTGTGATTTTCCATCTGCCAGTTAAGGAATAGAGGATTTTCATTGATGGAATCACTTCTCCTTAGTTTTTATTTTGGTGTAAAAGCTGAGATTTTATGTAGTAAACACAGTCTTTCCCCAAGTATCTACATGAGTTATGTTTAAGTGCAGTTTACCCATAAAAAGTTAATTATTAGAAAACTGTACTGTCCCTGTCTATTCATATTTGTTCATCATTGTTGTGGAAGAGTGATTGGTGTATTATAAGAATGAAAATCTTATTGAATACAAAACAGTATGAAGTGAACATTTGTGCGTGTTGCTGTATATGTGCACGAATTATCCTGATGGAACTAATGCTACCAAGTAAAAGACAATACCTAGTCCGAACACTTAATATTTCATACTTTACAAAAACTGTCACTGGTCAGTGAAATATGTGTTAATTTGGTCCACCGTATAACTCGTCATCAGAATTTGCCGCTAAAAATACTCTGATTATTAAGGCAATAAATCTGTAGCTTACATGCTAAAGACGTCATAATAATTTGCGGAAAGCAGTCTGATTCAAAATAAGGTGATCAAATACTATATAAGGTTTTTGGGACAAGTACAAGGTCAAACTGCTAAATATCGCGTTAGATATATTTTGGGTTCTAAACAGTGACATTCATGATCTATATATCTCAGCCAAAGAATTGTTTTGTTGTATTTGAATGAAAAATCTCGGCATGACTGATCTTAGGTGATTTCTTTTATTTTAAACAGAATCCTTTGATTGAAGTGCTTTTTAACTATGCATGATACTGAATCAAGACCGAACCTTAGTAGATTTGTGGTAAGTTTTCAGCTTTTTTCACTGCTGATTATTTGATAAGAACATAACTAATGTCTCAGTCAGCAAACCTGCGACAATTGTAAGTGATTCCCAATCGACAGGTGTTTATCAGCCACCACATCTGGCTCCAGTTTTTTTCGGTAAGTTTTAGTTTTTCTTACATACTTTCAGAGGGAGTTAAAAGCAAGTCATCAACAGAGCGTGCAAAACTAAGGGCAGCTCGGTTTATTCTAGAAGATGTGGATTTAAATGAATCTGAAGACTTACCGAAAGAAGTTTATGTATGTTCCATTTTTTACTTCCTTCAGTTAATCAGTTTGGATGCGGTTCTGAAGAAAATTCCGCACGAAAGAGAATACAAGAAAAGCAACAGTAAGTTTTGTCACCGGTTGGTAACAAGACCTTAGGTATGAAGAGGAGAACTTTGTCCGTTTAAAGACAACAAAGCAGGAGAAGAGATTGCAGCGTTCTTTCCTTCCAGGTGGGCTGTCTGATACATCTTCAAGGCTAAGACAAATGCAAATACTGCTCCAAAGTGTAAGTTTAACTCATAAATTGCAATAGCTGTACACTTTATGTAACCAACATATGCGCCCAGCCAGGTTAACGGTGTTCAGTGATTGGTTTTAAAGTACAGTCAAAATAAAATACCATACATATCTATGTCTACTAGAGAGCTAATTCATTGGGTGAAAGGTGGCATTACGAACCAATTATCCAAACCTCGGTTGGTGAAACATGACCCGTTAGTTGGGAATCAACTACTTAACTAATAAGTCATGTCTCTACAGCTGTTGATGTAGTTCGGTAATATGCACAATTTTCTGTGCGTGTCGAAATACAAATGTGTCACATACTTAACCAAACGAACCCAATGACTTGCGTATTAAAACGGAAATAAGGTTGTTAGGTCATTTACATTTACGCATAAAGTGGGGTGATTTTCGAACATGAAAAACACGGGTTGGAAGCCGACCACTCAATCCATATTTCTGCACTAAATAAACCGTGTTTCGCTAGGTTAATCTACCTTGGTAATAACTTGTCTGTTGTTATGCGCTTATATTTTTCTAAGTATAGAGCCATGGTTCACTAATTTGTACACCCAATAGGTGGGGGAATCCTCAAGTTTACTGATATGTAGTCAGTTCCTTATACTACTACGTCATTAAAGCACGCTCATGAATATCAATTAACCTTCCACCTTGGAGGCAACTAATGTTTCCAGTGTATTCACATAGCTAAGGTCCATTGAATTGCATTTAACTTACTTTGTGCTGAAGATCTTAATCTTAGCCAGCATTACAGACTTAATTGCTTGATTTTTTCAAGGTAGAATTTTAGACATCACAGAGTCGGCTCATATTCTTGTTATTTCTAAGCAATGAGACTCCAATACGTAAGTATCACAAATTATGACACGATGTTACATAAATTTGTGGTTTTGCCTTTAGGCATTTCCTAAGCTGTGCATTTAGATATTTTTAACGCTTTTGGTTAACTACATTGTTTTTGTAGTCAGATGAAGAAATGGAATATAAACCACCTCCGACGAAGGTAAGACATTTTCTTACATACTTATTCATAACAAAATAGAAAAAGAAGAAACAACTTAAACGCCTGAGATACAAGAAAGGACGCAGAAAGCGAAAATAATACGGATCTCTTGTACATACGTCTACTTTGAATATAAGAAATTCTTATTCTTTCTGTTCCTTTCATTTTTCATGAATAAAATCACGTGCTTATCTGAGTCGGTAATATTGTAAGCGAACTGTAAAAAAGACCAAAGACTTCTGTTTCAATGTCGCATGTGACTTCATCTGTTTCACAAAAACTAGTCACCAATATACTATGGGGAAGTGATGCTCAGAAAACAGCATTCAACTGAATTTCAAATGTTTACCACATAGTTATACAAATGCACTCAGAGAATATTGCCTTTGACATATTTTGCACATATCTGAGAACCTATCGTACAAAGTTCGTAAATTAGTCTGTCATTCACTGATGTTTTCCTTAACACACAGGAAGTAGTTTTAGTGCATTCTGACATATATGCCTTACTGGGGTGTGTGTTTAGGAAATGAATACAATTATGATTGTAGATGGTTTCGAAACAGTATCTCCTGTAATGGGACTATAGAGCAAGGAACAGTAAAGTCGAGCACGTATTGTATTATTGAGTGAGGAAAACGAGTTAGACGACGTGGTTGAAGCATGAGACACATGCTAGGGCACTTTCTGTTTCGAGATGCCAAGGGGAAATATTTGGAAATGTGACGTAAATCTATACCCTACTTATATTGTATGACTTCATAGTGACATCTGTAAGCCTAAATTAGTGAACTTCCTTACTTTTATTCAGTATGACGTTACACATTACAAGAGCTGAGTTTTGATCACATCGATTTGCTGAAGCTCTGTAAAAATACCCCACGGATATTAAAATTTGCAGTCCAATATTAGTGAAAACCACTTTATACACTAAAAAATATACATTGATTATTAGATGAAAAATAAGATATGAAATCCGAATAATGTGTTATTTTAATCAAAAGGGAGGAAATTCGAATTCATCTTATTATTAGGAAAGGAAACTTTTTCAAGGAATCTAATAATCTCATTTTGTAAATGAATTTACAAATAACAATAGTCTTCTGTACAAAAAAACATAGGAAGTACATTTTATCATCTAAAAAATCTGTATAACTATAAATTGTTTATTAATAACATTTCCAAACAAAAGGAGTACGTTAATAAATCTGATCTTGACTGCTGCAGTTTTCGGACTCGAGTTGTTTTAGTTTTTCAATTAAATACATACAGTAAGTATTGGTATCTGAGTGATTATTAACTTCTTCATCCAGTATAGGTAACGGGAGGTATACAACAACTAGGTGAAATTAGAAGAGAACAAAAAACGGATACTTTAATTAAGATTTAACATACATGAATTTCATTTCAGAATAACAGTTCGTTGTGTTGACTGACAACGTTTGACTTCCTTAATTAACTTTTGCACAAAATGCATACGCCGATATGAAAACATGGTAGGTCAGGTAGGACGAAATGTTATTTGCAGATATGCCCTCCCCACGAGCACGGAACCTAGGTTTAGGGCTTCTTTCCGATTACCTCTAACCACCTAACAACAAATATATTGCTGGCTTAAGTTACTAAAACTAACCGGTTAGTTAGTTTGTTAATGATACCAACACTGATTCCCCTTATTTAAGGCTGTTTACAGCACACAATCTATGCAAGTGTTAAACACACCGTGTGAGTTTTCTATCCAGATTGCAGCAGGATAAATAGGTCAAAGGATGTCGGTCAGACTGTTTCTCATAGTGTTTTTTTTCTGCCCTAATCGTGTTCTTGTCTAGGATCTGATAGAAACTTGATTTTTAACCACCGCTTCCCTCTGTTAGCTTGAAGAGTAGCGAGCTAAGGTTACAACTTACGATCACACGGTACTGTTGTAGCTCCCAATCGTCCACTAAAACAGAATTTTTATGGTCCTGTTCATTCTGAAGTTGCTGAGACACACAGATCCTTCCTAATCTTTTCCTAAGGGTAAGCAAAGACGTTTGCTGTTGTTTCTATAATACACGGGAAATAGCGCCAAGTGTACGGTCATCTTTCATTAATATCCTACGAATTTCTTTTCAAATGTAGCAGATGCGATCTCGTAGAAGCTTGTTTCTTAAGACCTAAGAATAAATCACCGAAGAACCCTTGCAGGGTAGATCTATTGCTCAAGTTAATGTAACCGACTAAGTAGTGGCCTCCTACTACCTGAAAAAAAATACTTCTTAACAGTTTACGTCTGTCTTTGTAAACAAACAGTTGATCTGAAGTCATGAAAATATAATCCGACTTTTAAGAGAATCAACAATTCAGTTCATTTTATGTGATATACGAGTAAATTGATAATCACGTCTGAAATTCCACTGAAGATTTAGAAAGTTATGGTGCAACATTTAAACTATTTGAGTCATATTTGTTCATGACGGGAAACGTAATATTTATGAACTATGCACAGTGTTACTACACTTTGTTTGGTTCAACAGTATGATATCACAGTAATTCAATATGCTTATGTATACACTTCACGCAAATCAAAAAGTTACAGTATTAGTCCTAAAGATTATTAACTAAATCAATTCATTTCACTGAGATAAAAAATTATACATTTGATTACAGCTTGTTTTACTTACATGAAGTCGGGTTGTTTTCATATATATGATTTGCATAAATATTTAAAATGTTGATTACCATATCGATAGATTGTTCTGATCTACAAGAAAGAATTGTTACAATAAAATACAAGTATAACAACAGATCCAATTCAGTGATATTGAAGATGTGATTTGCAGCTATATGATTACAAGTATAAACTCGAGTAGTTCGAATAAGTTCATCGTATCATTAGTTTTTTCCCATAACAGATATAAGTTTTGATAACCAATAGGTAGTCAATGACGCCAGCTTATTCTCCTCTTAAAACATTTCCATACAGCAGCAAGACCTTATCTGTTGCTTTCATGTCACAGGTGCCTGCCAAAAATATCACGGGCTAAATGAGTACAAGAAGTTTACATGAAAATTTCACAAAACCTAGACTTCAAATTAACGGTACATACGAATTTGGTAATAGACACCATGTCCTCGTGACCGGTAACTGTAAGGTGAAAGTCTTGACTTTTCTGCACTACACTAAGGCTAAGACCTACATGTCAAAATATCAATCCCTAAATCGTCTTTAAATTCTTCAGGAAAAATTACGATAATAAGCCTAAAGCTAAGTTGTACGATGGATGAGACTTACATTCGCATCTACGTGGTTCATTTCTAAGTTGAGATACTTAGTGACACAAAGTGGCGGGTGCGCGACTGCGACTTGATATGGATAGTCGGAAACCTTGTGTTTCATAGTAGTTATTTGAGAATGATATCAATGTGACAATTCCTTCCAAAAAAATTCTCTTCACTTACTTTTTAGATCTATCCGAGGGAGACTTGTATATTTTAATGACTTGTTTACAGTGCTCTGAGTTGAAATCACTGAGTTCTGTTGAAAGTTCATTGTTTGCATTGCTTTCCACAATGGTTGTTAACAGTTTACATAGATCGTTGTTTAAAGAGGTCTCATCGTTATTAAGTGACTGTATGCACTGATTACATTCACCATCATAACTTTCAGTACTGCGTGAATCTAGACCTGATAAAAGGCATTTCAGTAAATATTGAAAACGAACAGACGAATTCTGTAGTTCGGTCGATATTTCACCTTCATGTGGTATTATTAAACTATTGTACACTGCTTCAACCTCTGCATGGGAATGTTTAACAAATTCTAGTAAGGTGAACAACATATGACGTAACAGTTGAAAAATATCCTCGATATTTGTGGTCTGTAACACCTGTCAAGTTAAATGCAATAAAGGAAATCAGAAAAAAAATTTGAGATAGAAATTAAATATATGTCCAGAGTATTCAAAATTCTTTAGTACTCCTCAATTAAAACTTAGATTTATATAAGTAGAAAATAAGTAATTCTATTGAGTCGCTGTAACACATAATGTAATAGATTAATGCCAGGTGGAACAACTGACTGACTATGTTTCAGCATAGAAGTTTGCACAGAAATGCATCAGTTCAAGTTGCCACACTTCATGTAGCACACTCAAACGAACTATAATGAGGAGACATATGTACAGGAGGAAAGGTAGTAACATGGAAAAGGTAGAAAACAATGAGAGTTATAACTGAATTTTTGCTTCTTAGAGTTGTTACAATGTCAGGTTGCTGTAGCCGATAGACGCACAACTGCACCAGATTTTAAGTATTTCTAATTAATCAGTTGTGTAAACAAACATCATCAGAATTATGAAGTGAAAATAAGAAATCGGTATAGAATATATATATGCAAATATAAGATGAACTTACATTACACAATCCGGAGAATTGATTATGAACCTCGTGATATATCCGCATTAGATTTGTTACACTAGTGATTAATTGTTTTTGGCTTGTTTCAGGAAGAACATCCTAAAATAAGGAATAAGGAAATGAAAATATTTTATTATCAAGTTATTATTTTATTTTTATTTATTTTTGAATACAGCTTGATGCCACATCGTATTTTCAGTACAAGTATGGCATTTTCAGCATGGATATCGGTAGCCCAAATTCAGCAGGCCGTCCATAGATATCGGGTGTGCGTCGGCGGGGGATCGAACCCCGAACCATGTGCATGGTCGGCGAGAGTCCTAACCACTGTGCCACCGACTACATTTACAACAAAGAATATGAATTGTGAAAGTAATAAAGATGAACTAACTGCTTTTTGTACATGTATTTATACTATTCTGTTATTCAACAGTGTGTAGAAATACACTACTTTTCATAAACTTCAGTGAAATCGGGCAACCTAATTCAAAAGATCAGTAGTCATTATTGTAGTTTGAGTTGAAATTCTATAATAAATGGGATTGAAGAGATTTTATATTATTATCAGTAGACGACAGGACGCACAAATACTTGTTAACTGAATGAACCTGTACTTTGATATGAAACTTAAAACTTCTAATTTTTAAAAACTATATGGTTTCATATACCAAAGCTATGTTTACAGTGATAAGTTAAAACATTAACCTCACTTAGAAAAAGCTCAAAAAAGCCACGCTAACGATCAACAGTTTCAGCAGAGAAAACTTCTTGGATAGTTTCACTCAAGAGACAGTTGGGAGTGGGTGGGTCAGATGATAAGTATGGTGTACAGAAAGGTGAAAAACTTGCATAAAGATATGAACCATATGACCGCAATTCATACATCTCTTTTCCAACTGACTAAAATATGATTAGGGAAGCTTTCAAAAACATTTTCAACGCAAAAAATGCAACCAACATAGCGGAAAATTAACTATTAACTAATATGCATAAAGTCTTTCTCAGAGATTTTAAGAAATGACAGCAAAAGACAATGGTTTTCGACTAATACGCTTAAAAGCATATATAAAATCACTTATAATTTATTCGTAGGTCGAATTTCATCTAGACATATGAAATCGACGTAAATGGAATATAATATACTTTCTGTTAGGAATACAATTGCAGTCTGAAAATCTGTTATGGGTAAAATTTATTTTGATTAAGTGTCACAGTGTTATACAGTAATATTTACTGATAACGTTTTGAGCACAATTTATTGCTCATAATCATATCACCTTATGACTTGATCAAAATAAATTTTACCCATAATGGAATTATGCTCTGCCACAGTGCACAAGTTCTATTCTTATACCAGTCTGAAACTTTCCTTAAGTTAAACTACTTGCAGTGTGCCTATTCTGTAACACCAATTCCCTTGTATGCATATCAGCACTTAATGAACTCTTTTTGATACCTAGGAATATTTAACAGCGTCATAAAATTTCAAAGTTAATAACTCATTTGAATTTGGAAGAAGAGTGACTTCTTTGTAGGTAAAATGTAGGTATTCGTCATTATTTGATTCATGAATGCCACACTTATTTTTCAGTTAGCAGTTTAACGACTACTAGTTCAGAAGGCCTATTAGTTGGAGATTTAATTCTTTATTATTCATGCGAGATTTCTGTCTCACTCACTCAACAGGCATATGCATATTAACACACCTGGCAATAAACCACACCAATCTGTCACCAAACCCAAGTAAGTTCGAATATGCATGGCTCATTAGGTAAAAGTTAAATACCTAAGCGGCAAGACAAAACATGACCAAGTAAGATTTTGATGTCAAGTTCTAATGGATAGTCAAGTTTGCTTTAAAGTATGGGGTATCTTTTATCACGAAAATAACAACAAGTATATTCAGTAGTACATTGTACAATGGAATGAAAATTATGCACTTTAGGGTAATAACCAATCAACAGACAAATTTCATTAAAACACCACCAGAATTTACCTGACATGAACGATAAAAAAACCATGGTGGTCGCAAATATTTGATAATTCTTCCACTCAATTTAACTAAAAATAGGTTAAGGAAGAGAAAAATTGATCACGGAATGTTTACATAACTGTGAAGCATTTATTCAACGATAAACATTAAAAACAAAAGACCCAGCATTATTACACAATGGTCAACGTTGTCGTAACTCATGTCTGTAAATCAAACAGAATGCAATGAAAGTGTAATAAATTTAGCTTTAATGTAGGTAAGAATGAGTTTTTTGATGATTCTTTAGAAACTATTTACACTGTTCTAGTCATTTGGTTCATAAAGTTAATCACTGTCTGTTGTATTTTAGTGACAATTTATCAATCAATTTACTGTTCGTCTCAAATGAATCTTTCCAGCAAACGCATTACCGGTCCCAGTAAGATCTTCGCATCGCCCACCACGATAAGTCAGCTTGGATGTTTATCCGAGGAAGTCGATTTCTTGATAACGTTCGTTTACCCCTCTGTATGACATCTACTTGAATGTGTATTTAACAGCCTTCTAAAGTTTTAGATAACGATTAGCTACGACAGAGTATAAAGAACACATTAATGTTATGTCAGATAAAAGAAAAGATTTTAGCGATAAGTTGGTGGGTGAAAAAAGGGGCTATACAACACACTAAAGGATGATTAGAAAGTTTGTGATAAACAAGGCGGATTTACAGGATTTCATCATGATCTGACATTGGTTAGAGAACCATTGGAAAACCTGGGAGTACTGGACAGCTGTTTCGTCCTAGTTTCCAGTGGTTCTGTAACCAATGTCAGCTCATGATGAAATCCTGTAACTGATCAAGCAAATCCCTACAAACCAATACTTGAATAAGGCGGATTTAGTTGCGCTTGTGATTGAAACCAGTTACATGTAAAAGGTCTTCGATGAAGTAGACCATGAACCACACTCAATATGTGAGGTATGACGATACTACCCAGTGGAATGGGATTCAAAATTAGGGCTCACTAGCTGACAATAGATCTTTATCGTTTAAGTGGTTAATGCACTGACTTTATTTTTATGATGCTCCACTGGCGTTGAGAATCAGACACAATATTTCAGTGTGTAACAGAGAATAACTGGACCGTATAACTGTTATTTAAAAAAAATTAGGCTATAACATTAAAAAGGTTTCACTAGGAGTTTGGGAGAAAATCTTGTATATTAATCAGCTTTACATAGATAAAATCTCACAGTTTATTAGTAACGAGGATGAACAAAAAAATCATTTTGAAATAATACAGGAAAATATTTAGGTAAAAACAAGACTATTGGAAAACCTACCTAAACAACTGAAACGACTCGATTCAGTCCACGAATAACCAGATAAATTAATAGTTTGCTTAAGAGCAAGCATATAGCGTGAAACTAATTCTTGATATGATTGCGGGAGTTCATTGAGCATACACATCAACATTTGCTGTTCATTTAAGCGCGAACAGGTTGTGGAATGCAAAAACGATTCTAATTCAAACCATTTTTGTTCAGTAGTCAGCTAAATAAATTTATAAATAATAGGACAAGAAAAACTTATTCTTTTTAAACAAATAACTATTTAATAAAATATATATATGAAGATGAAAGATAGTGACTTGCTGATCAAAGTTGGTTGATTGAAAAACTGCAGTATTGGTTTTGAAAATAAAGAAAAAGCTTCAGACTAATTACGTATAGCGAAGTTAGCAACAAATTTGTTTCGTGGATAACAACTCCATCAATGCAGACGATGTAATAGACAGGGAACTAACAATAATGGTCGCAAAGGCCGTGATTGAAGTGATACTTGGTAAATATTTTCATACAATTTTTCAGTTAACCCCCTATGTAGCTATATGTTCTTTGTCACATATTCGTAAAATCAGCGGAAAAAACCAATATTACTTATTACAACAGATTACAGAAGAAAACAGCAACAACAAAATGGCTAACTAACCGGGTTTCTCCAATTATACAAACTTGTTGATGACTGAACTGATACTATTTTGTTTAATGAAGCACACTCGGATGAAGCAAAGTTTTGTGCATTTTCGTTAATATGAGCAGAATACCTTTTATGATGCTCTGCTGTTGATCACTTTGTTGCTCGCCATGTTCATGTTGCTGCTGACGCACACATATGATTTTTTTACCGCTACAATTTACACTTGAGTCACTTGTTGATCTATGCATCTTGGTGATAGCAGGGAAGATATGATTAGATCTTTTATTTCTTCCACTTGACTGTGTATAATGCAATGAAGAATGAGAACTATGTACAGATGCTACTGCTGATGACGAAGATACTGAGAGTGATGGTGAAAATGGAATGGATTGAGGCGATATTAATGAAGAAGAACATGTCCAAGAAGAGACAGCTTTCACTGTACTAGTATTATTGTTGTCATCATTATCACCAGTATTATTATTATCTGTGATAATTAAATCGGATATGGGTTGTTTAAACTCACTACTGCTTAATTTGGGCGATGATGATCTTGACGAGGATAACGATGAAGAGGATTGACCAAAAGTATTTCGGTCTCTATTACTATTTACTTCACTTCGATAACTTAAAGGTGATAGTAAAAGTGAATTGGCGAGGGATTTATTACCATCACTTGATTCAACTAAAATGTACTGCTGCTTATTAACTGATAGTTCCGATGTTGAAGCCGAACGTTTCATTTTTCCTAGGAGAGAATTTTTCGTATTACATACACGATATCGGTGATTGGTACTTTGTTGTTCTGATTTCTTTAAAATTTGAATATGTTGTTTATCCCGTAAACCTAATTCATTTCGACAGGACACGTAACATCGAGGGAAGTAAATATTTGGTCTGGATTTTGCAGCAGAATAGTTTTGATCGTCAGCGTTGTCAATATAATCACAATTACTGTTAGTTAGGACTTGTATAGATGCAAACCGCACTATAGAAGTGCTAGGGAGATGAACAGCATTTGACTGCAATGTAGTATGTGCTTTTTTGTGAGATTGACAACGTGAATGGCTTACGAGAATCCCTTTCGCGTTGCTTTGTCTGTTTTCTTCTTCGTAATTCTGCACACTACCACCGATAGTAGTAGTAGTCGTTGTAGTGTTTTCTACCTCACTGTCTTCTCCTTCGACCTCTTCAGTGCCATCACCAAGATCAAACGATACATGCTCAGCACGTGAATTGCGCGTATTAACATTTAAACGCTTTTTAGTCTGTGAATTCTCACTAGATTTCATTTCACAATCCCCTTCACTAAGTGTGTCACTCTTCCTAGTAGTATACAACAAACTCATATAGTCATTGTCTGCATGATCTAACTGTACTGCGGTGTTACTCTCTTCAGTGAATGATTTCCACATTAGTGAACTTGAAGCTCCCTGATTATCCATGTGTGGTTGCTGTTCATCACGTGATCCTGTTGAATATCTATTATCGACATTACAATCTGTATAGTTGTTGCTTATTGTTATTGTTGAATACCTGTTTGTATTTAAATTCTTCGAGTCTGTATGTTTTACTCCATTTGACCTATTATCGACAAAAGCAGTTGTTAACTGCGGTAGAGAATTAGTTCTGCTTTGGTGGTAAGTAGATGATAAATAATCAGATTCCGCTGGTGTAATTATTTTTGTTTCTGTTGTTTGACTTGGTCTTGATAATCCAGCAAAAGTTTCATTTGCAATGGATTCACTTCCATCCCCATTGAGATCAAAATGACAAGTAATAGCTTGACCACGGACACCCCATGGACGTCTGGGCTCTTCTTCCTGCAAAATACATTTAAAGAAAGTGACTTGGTAGTAAAGTGAGTTTATAGTTTTATTTTAGCAGTTAAAAAACATAAGCGTAATAAATTTACCACAACTACATGCCGCTAACAGGAAACAAAATTATATGACATTATTTTCACATAAAAAATACTGGTGGAAAACGTCTAGTATTTTAAAACTTTATAGATGCAAGTGTTGTTTATCCGAATGTTCTAAATTCAGGGATCATAATAGTCCTTGGAATTATGTTATGTACAATAATATTTAATCAGAACACATAGACATAGATCTTTTGAAGTCTCCTTCAACAAGATAACTTTACGCATTATTTGAATGAAAAGTTATATATACGTAAGAGTAATGTTCGATATAATACATAGTGAGTGATACAGTATTAGTAACTGGACAATTTTTCGAGCACAATTTACTGACCATAATCAAATCAATGTAATCAGACAACTTCTTCACTTGTTTTATATGCGTTCACTTCCTCTGTTTTTAACTGGAATTTTGCATACATGCGCTTTATGGGCGTTGCGTGGCTTCAACTGAACATGTTCCGTGTTGGTTCGATGAACAAAGATTCAGTGACTAAAATATCTCTATCTAATGATATCACTTTTTAATGCTGTTACCCTATCTTGCTGCGAGCAAATGTATTGCAGTGGCGGAGCTTTTTTCCAGATTACTTAATTTATCAGGGTCAGATCTAGCTGAATTTATATGTTATGATAGTCTAATTGTGCTTGATCTATCAGTGTGACCTATGTAATTCACCTCACAGTCATTAAATGGTATTTGGCGAATTTTATTATTATTATTATTACTATTTTTAGAATATATGAACATAGGTTCTTTTTAAGTCTTTATCAAAAAGATAACTATATTCACTTTTTAATAAAAAGTAATGTCCGTTTTGGCGTAAAAATTCCTGCATGTGAATTCACTGGACAGTGATCGATATAGTTATTAAAATCAACTGTGACTATTAAGCTTAGCGACGTGACACTAAATTGAAGTGTTTTAGTATTACAGACAATCTGAGGAAGAAAGTTATGCTCCATGGGAGGTTCTATGTCTAAAAGCAACCATCAGTAATCAGTATTTTCAAACTTGATAAAATTTTTATTTCTATGATGATTGAAATCTAGATAGATGTGAGAGGATTTTATATTGTTTAGAAAAAAACCAAAGGCAACTTAGAACTATTTTGGTGAGAATGAAAGAAAACAATATGTTGGTATGGCTACCAGAGCTATCTGTATAAGAGACATTATGTAATAAGGTCATCTGTAGTTACTAAAAAATACTAACAAATAGTGTATAATTGTAACAAATCCTATTGTATTCATCAGTTCATATGCAGTGTTGCCAAAACGCCAGGAAACTGATGTTTGGATAAGCGCAAAAAATCTTAAAAACATCACCTATTACAAAATACATAAGAAAAGCTACAATAAAAATTGAGAACAATACACACAGAACATGTAGCGAATGAGTATTAGGCCTGTTGAGTTCCACGAACATAAATCCAACTTTGCTGGTTAACTAAAAGCTGCGTCGGTGGTTCGCCAACTACGTACGAAGTCCGGGTTCGAAACTCTGTCGATTCACACCTAATGCTGAGCCCCGCTTAGTCGGTATTAAGTCCGGTGAAGACGGAAGGTTGGGCGTGAGGCTAGCCTGAAAACAACAACGCCACTAGGGAAATTTCAAGGCCCTTCTCTACTCGGAACGGAAAGAAAAAAACCTATCCTTGTTGGTTTACTCAACCTAGTCAAGATTTCGTTTAGAAGGCTTCAGAAAAGTACAGGGTTATCAAAATAAAATAACAACCATTGACTTAACCACTTAACTTCCGAAATTGATGAGTCCTGGATTTGGACCCCGAGTCAGCTACTACTACGGAGGAAAACTCATATGCCGAATCCCTCGTAAATTTAGAGTAGCACCAGGCTCATTAAACTGTATAACTTAGTTGTATAGCCCTTTTAGCTGGTGTTGTCACAATGGTCAAGATATATTGAGTCAACGTTTAAAGTGCTGTAGAAAAGCTTTTTTATTACTTAATCTACATTCGAATAACTTTCGAGATGTTAGTGAGTGAGGTGATATCAATTTTTAATTATTTTCATATAATAAAGAAACTGTAGAACAAACTTACACTCATTGAAGCCTACAATTAAATAAAAATAAAACTTTTATCAGTGACAAAACAAAGATACTAATGAGATTATGAAAAGTGTTTATTCCTTAAATACTAGAAATTTAAAAGATTGAGTAAAATTGTGATATGAATTTTACTATCAGCACTCCTTTAAGGCTTTATAATATACATAACAGATATACATTGGACTACGCGTATTTGAATGAGAAGCAGACCTATAAAAGATGGAAGTTAAATACAATATTTATTAATTATTATTATTCCCTTGGATTCTGAGCCGAACATAAGGCTTCCGAAGCATATTTCCATTTCACTTTATTCTCTCCAGTCATTGTAAGCTGGCTCCTCAATTGACCACAAGCTTTCATTTCTCGCTTACACAATCGCCTGAATATTACCTTCGGATACCCAACTGGCCGTTTTGTATTCGGGTTTCACTCGCGTGATGGTATTCAACAGTGTCCTCAGTGTATGTAATGCAACATTTGGACGTTTCAAAACTGGTAGTTTTGACTTAATTACTGAGTGAAAGTCATATTTAGGCCAGTAGACAATAGATTTAGGATTCTGTAACAGTATGAGATGATTGCTGTCTATTAATACTTATCAATAATTTTTAATTTAATTTTTTAATTTTTGATTACAGCTTGATGCCACACCGTATTTTCAGTACAGGTATGGCATTTTCAGCATGGATATAGGTAGCCCAAATTTCGCAGGCCGACCACAGATATCGGGTGTGCGTCGGTAGGGGATCGAACCCCGGACCATGTGCATGGTCGGCGAGAGTCCTAACCCCAGTGCTACCGACGCACTGTCATTCTGTGATGTATGCCAAATTCAAATGTTTCACAAATAACAATCTTTTAGAATGTACAGCAGTATTAAATAACAGTTAATAATAAAACAAAGGAAGGAAGGGATACCGATAGAAGGAAAACTAACTACAAATAAAGTAAACTCAACGGGATATTTTAGAAACTTTTTAAAACTGGGGAACTTCAAGAAATATAAACTTACTGACTTATTGTCTAATACCTAAGGTAAAGATTAAAGGGATACATTTTAACTAATTTTGAAAATTGATATTAACAGTATAGGCTATAGGGCTCGTAGCAAGTGAGGTTTCTGCTATAGTGATTAGGATCAGTACAGATCAAGGTAGAAATTTTTCACAGTGCATCAACTCAACCTGCCACACTTTGGAAAAGCACACATAAAGATAGAAAGAAGAAAATATAGTGAAACAACAATGAAGCAAGATGTACGGTAAACAGAATAACATGAAGGTTAGTGAATATTTTTACAAGCTGGAAGAGGACTAAGAGTGCATAGAGGTGAATCGTAGAGAATAATTATTCTGAATCATGTCACCAGCAGTCTCCAAGGTTCCAGAAGATAACAGTTCACAGCCGCTAGTAATTATAAAACCTACACCAAAAATGACGTAGATTTGCAAGTGCTAAAAGAAACTTCAGTATCCCTGCTGCAATGTAATCAGCAATCATTCTATTAGGTCTGTTTTGCAATGTATAACTTCTCAAATTAGTAGAAGTGATCAATACATTTGACAGTTTCAGTCCTTATTCTATACTAGCATTCGGCACAGACTAGTAATTTATCACCACTTTACAATTAACGAGTTAGATGTGGACGCCAAACATAGCGAAACAATTTTCTCAGGCTATTCGGAAATCCATACATGTTGTAGATGCTTTCACTTTAAACGTATACATCGTCTATGAGACTTTACTTCAACAGAAACTTAATATAATTAATTTTTCTCTAAAAAACATAAATTGTTTCTGAAATATCGAAATGAACAGAGGTTCAATTAAACTATCTCTTTCTTTAAAGGAATTGCTAAGGGTATTAATTATTGGCTCCCTATATGATTTGGGGATGCCAAATGATACTTGAAAGGAAATTGGTTCAAAGGCATATGAGGAGTAACATTCAGCTTATGTAAGGCACTTTAACCTTCTAAATAAAACATAGCTATGAGGCATTCTTAAACTAAACAACTGTCAATTTATACTTCCATCTCATATAGGGAGTACTCAGTGAAAATATCACTACAACATGAGGTATTCTATTGACTTGAAAGACAATCTAAAAGATAAAAGAATGAAGGCAAAACGTACACTTGCACACAGTACCAAGAAACACAGTAAACTATGTTAACGCGAATCCAAAACAAAACAAATTAAAAAAAGGAAGTTATCTCTGTAACGAAAAAGTAGACAAAAAGTGTATAAGCGTAGGTCATAACGACTGATTATGCATTTAAATCTATTTCGCATAAATTATTCTAAACACAGTTACAAGGTATCAAATTATCTATATGATACTGGAGTGTGACAGTTCACTAAACAGGGTTAAGGTAAATGAAGTGTCGAAACACTCAGTAAATCGGTGATTCAATGGCAGATTGCTGTCCAACTATTCAGGAGAGCTGGATTCGTTTATCAACAGCCGATGCACTCCTACAACTACCTAGTTTACTAGCCGGTGGTGGTAAGCCAGGAGAAGAGAGGAGGTTGGGCAGAAAGTAAGCCCACCCATTAGGTGAATAAAGAACAACACCCATAATGCCAGTTCAGAGCTTAAAGCTTAATTTTCCATTCAGAACTCGAAGGAATGAGAAACTTAGATTAACGACTTTGGTTTTCAGAGTAAACCTCTTTTAAATATATTAACAATTATATTTTGCACAAAAAGTCACAAGAAAAAGGCAGGTCTGCCTTCAACAAACGATAACAGTGTAAACAAACTCGTTTAAACACAAACTTGTAATGCATTTTAAACACATCAGAATGTATAAACTCACACTTGTGGACGCCTGTAAAAGAAACAGTAGAAAAAAAGGAAGAAAATATGTATATTAGTTAGTAGGCTAAAAAGAGGAAAGTCGAAAGAAAAGTATAACACATCAAATTTGTTTATTTTCGACTTGTTTTCAAATACTTTTAGTGATTGCTGGTTAACCAGTTATTCACTTGCATGAATTCCATAGAATTTTATCTAGCTACTTAGTGTAATAATATGAAAATGACCAGTCGAACTTGTTGAATGATTCTTTCTCGAGATTAATAAGGATATATTTGGTTTTATGTCAATGTTTGAACGGTAAGTCAAACCGAATAGCTTATCTTTTACATCTCTTCTAATTTAGACTAGTAGGTTATAATACTTCCTTGTGTTCCTTCTGTTTTGCTGTATAAGTGTACTAGTAAGACAATGAGGCTATCGTGGTATTCCACAGTTCGAAGTTTTTCTTCCAGTTGATATTATCCATTGAGTGACAGAAAAAGTCTTCGAATAGGCCATAAACAACTACTACTCAGCTAAATGACATAGTGATTACCACTGTTTTGCGAAAGTAGACTACGGAGGCTGTTTTAAATTTGTTTTTTTTCCTTTACGTTCCCCGGTGGAACATATGGCTTCAAGCTAGTGGTTTGAAGTTTCTGTAGCAGTGTTTATTTTACAGGATGGGGTGGCTAGCCTCATGCCCAACCTTTCCTCCTCACCAGCACTATTTCTGGCTTAGCGAGGTAAAGGAGTGCGTCGGCCGGGGATCGAACCCCGAACCATGTGCATGGTCGGCGAGCGTCCTAACCGCTATGCCGCCGACGCTGTTTTAAATTTAAAGTTGTAAATTTGATAGCACTAAATGATGTTCTTGCCACAAATGACGTTTAAAAAAAAAGAGTTTGAATACGTGTTATAATCAAATTAGACTAAATGTATGAATAATGACTTCTTTAATTGTGGTACATAATGATCTAAACACAACTTAATGAGTTTAGACAATCTAAGAGCAAAGATTATAAACTTACTAATCTGCAATCTGGTACACCTAGGAAGTTGATGTTCATTAGTTGAGCATCCAAATAAGTGTCCAAATCTCGGAATACAGCAGTTTGTTCACCACTGCTTGTATCGTCAAGGCGTATATCATCTGTTAAAAATGAAGAACAATTTATGTGTAAAAACTCAAAAGAAAAAAAAACTGTAAATAGGACAACATTTGACTTCAAAACAAAAGTGAATTTAGTCATCACATAATTGATGTCATTACTGATTTATATATACATTGCATAACTTGGTGCCAAACATTGATCACATGGTTTGTAATTCTGTTGTATTTATAGGCCTAACGAATCTTCTATAAAATCTCAACATGTGCTGCAATGCGAATGAGTCGAAAGTAAGGAAGTCTAGTCTACTGACCTTCCAAGCCTTATGCAGAAATGTATAAAACCTTCTCAAGGTGAAAGGAACTGACTGATAAAACTCGGGGCTATATCGTTATACTTCATTTTATTGAAAAGCTTTCATATTTACATGGAGAACATTTTATTTAAGCATTTAACTGTTCGATTTGATAATATTCCTTTTAGTTATATCTTCATTTTAAAATAGTTTTGTATTACACATGACATTCATTTATTAACTTGATTTGGTCGAAAATTACTCTGAATAAATCGGAAATTTTTTGACTATTCTAATCACAAGTAAAACGGAAACTGATATTCATTTCAGATTTTGGTTATAAGTCACAAAATAACAATAACTGTCACGATTTGATATTACATACGCAACTGACAGAACTGTTTGTTACAGAACAGTATACACGGAATAACAAAAGTAGAGTAACACATTAATATGACCGTGTATCTGATAAAAATAGGAGATAAAGCCAGTATACGAATAAAACAGAAACAAAAAGAGGAAAATAACACATATAAAATACAACAAAGGAGGAAGATTACTGTACACAAACCTGAATTGCTTATATCGACAACAGATGTTGTTTCGCTACTAGAATGAACGCTTAATTGTGGGTCTAATGTTTCAGTGGATTGACTGAAGATAACCTATTTGTTAGACAAAAAGAAAAAAAGCGTAAATCTAATATGTGGATAGATGGTAAAAAAAAGCACATGTCAAGCTATACTAAGTTTTCCATGTAGCTACACTGAAATATTTAAAGCCAAAAGTTTGTGGGATTGAAACTAAGTGAAACATGATGGATGGGGGGGGGGGGGAGGAAGCTATGCTAATTAACACAGAAGTAATTAATAAAAGGTGCGTCGGTGGCATAGCGGTTAGGACACTCGCCGACCATGCACATGATCCGGGGTTCGATCCCCGGCCGACGCACTCCTTTACCTCATTAAGCCAGAAATAATGCTGGTGAAGAGGAAAGAATGGGCATGAGGCTAGCAACCCCATCCTGTAAAATAAACACTGCTACAGAAACTTCAAGCCACTAGCTTGAAGCCCTATGTTCCACTGGGGAACATGATGAAAAAAAAATTAATAAAAGGCTAGGAAAGATAAACGTTTAGCCTGAAGACGACAGTGTAAAAATCACTAGAGCTTAGTAACTGCCTAACAAGCTTATTGAAACACTTTTTAACAGAGTGAACCTTCAAACTCCAAATACACAGCTACGTTAAACATACACCTTTTAGCCAAACGAGTCGAAATCAACTGATGGTAATATATGAAACCTAAATAGCTTCTCTTGCTACCGGTTCATTGAGTAAATTACGCTTTAAAACTGTATCTTACTCAAGCAATTATTATTACATATTCAACTATGCACATAACTTAGTGACCGGGATGATCATCGACAAGACTCGGAAAATTTTTTATCCATAAATTCATTTTACAGATGCTTATGAAGAAGAAATAACAGTTTACCTCGTCGGCTTTCTGTTCTCAAGAAAATTTACCAAATGAAGAGTTAAGAATTCAACAAGAATTTTAAATCAGAAAAGAGGGGAGTTACTAGTGAATGTCATTGAGATCTTCTACACATTCTATTGCTATTTTAGTTTTATAGTTTAAATGTTTAACTAAGATTTTAAAAAAATACTCAGTTAATAAAAAGGCTGATGCTATTGGTATTCCATGTGCAATAGGTATTTGTGAAAAAGAGACATACTAAGTGACATATGCGGATTGGATATACTATTAAAACTAGTTCTACGGAAAATAAATACGGTTCAATTCAAAATAAATTCACAGGAACATTGAAATATATATATATACATAGTCATTTACCGATGGGCTTCTTGGAGCACTGATACATTGCTGTGCAGGCACACCATAACAACCAACTAGGCGATATAGCTTTTCACGCAAACGTGACTGAAAACAATCAGAAGAAATGTAGTTTTAGAAAATGCTTTAAGTGAAAATAATGACAACATTGTTAAAAGAGTCTAAACCGATCGAGAATACTCAAGGCTTATTTGAATGAAATAATGAAAGAAACAAACAAATATAACAGATAACTGCTATTAATTAGGTAATAAAGTCTTTTGATTTGAAGCCTAACTAAACCAACATACATGAGAAGACTTCTTAACTAGAAGTGGTTCGGATAAACATACCCTTCTACAACAGACTGACATTTATTATTAGTCAGACAAACTGGGTGTAAATGATAATAAGCAGCATAAGTGGATTTAAGTAGTAACAACCAAGTACACTGGGAAACAACACTGAGTAAGTTGACAAAACTCAGTGAATACAAGGCGACTGTTGTCTCCAAGTAACTTGTGCTTCGATAGGCCGTTACATATTACGAAACAGGATTCTCACACGCATATCTAAATCTTTCATTTTCTTCAAACAGAAAATGAAAAACAAATTCCATCTTAGTTATTCCAACCTCTTCACTTTCCATTTGACAGCAAAAACATAATGACATAAACTATGAACACATTTTTTTCAATCGATAACTGCTGCATTGATGCAAAGGTTAGGCTTATATATCGCAGTCACCCGACGAATTGGGTTGGTTGGAACGAATGTTACTACAGGACTTATCATGTTAGAAAGGTTTCCTGGATAGCGGTTACACTAAGATCAGCTACCATTATGGTGTAAGTTCGTTGATATTATGGTGGGGGTCTGAGGGTGAAGTCTTGATGCTGGCGAATACGGGTGCACGAGAAGTGAAGTATCTCTATCGGACGATCAGCGAGTTAGCTATGCTGTCTCCCAAATTTGTGGAGAGGAGATTAGGAAATGTGGATCCTGTAAATTCCGACATACCGCGCGGCAGTCCATCACTGATGGTAAGTTCTTCTTCCACACACGACTCCAAACAGGCTGTGGATGTCCGAACTCAAACAGTTATCCGATAGGCTAACTCTACAATTAAGATATGAATTAGCACCAAAATAAAAACACCGAATTCACTGGAAAGAAAAACTTTACATGGAACACTTCATTTGTTGGAAAGTACAATACTCTTTCAGTTGAAATAAGTGAAGAAAAACCAATGTATACCTGACAACTTCCCGGCTTACTCCATCCACCAGAAGCTGAAACAAATGTTTCCGTCAAACCAATATCACTGGCATCAATAAAATCTTTTTTATTTCCTTTTAGAGGAGAAAAATCATACGAAGCGGCATCCACCTTGGAGATATTTTCTAAATTCGCGTTTGATGAAGAACTTGGCGCAAATTCAGGAGCTAGTAATGGTGCTTCTTGAAAAACATTGAAAGTAAAGTCTAACACAGGACCAGCAAGTTCTAACCTCGGAGGTTCACTTTCTGGAAGTGGAACAGCGACTGCTGCAGCTGCGACTGCGAAGTCTAAAATGCGACCACTACCTGAAGGATCCAAACCAGGTAGGGTATATGCAGGAGCTTCTGGCACAGTGCTTAACACTGCTGAACGTGAAACAGTGATTTGCAGAATTGGAATAACATAGGACCACAAATTGGTCTGTTACGAAAAGAAAGGAGTAAACGGATTGGTTAGTTGTTAACAATCAGATCTACACAAAATAATTTGTAAAACAACAAACAAAACTTTAAGCAATAGACGACTAATCTTCAAACCAACTCTCATTATGGGTAACTTTACAATCCTGATAAAACTAGGATTATCAAGTAAAGAATTAGATGCAGTAGCAAAATCACTGTCAACAGGCAAGAAAACGAATTACCATTACGCAGTAAAAACAAAGAATAATTGCAGTTAGTGAAAATGATAAATTGATTAGGTGACACTTGAGGAAGAAGAATTGTTGTACGTTTCTTTGCAAACAGTGTATTTATGAGGGAACAATAGAAGAAAGTTACTAAGTAGCCAAACTCGTTAATTTGCGAACACGGGAGCACTTTAATTACTTTTCTTCAAGTGACTGGATATCAGCCTGTGTCACTACAAAATGGTATAAACTTATTTGTGGTCAATTAGTGATAGCTACAGTAAAGTACTTATAGGAGATGTCATGGTACTCTTGCAATAGAATTTACCGACTAAGGTTCACTTTTAAGTTCAATCATTGAGACTAGATGATGAATTATTTGAAGAACAATCTTGTCGCTGGAGTAAACAATTAAGTGAGGAGAGAAAACAGCAACAGCAACTAGCTGTCAAAAACATCTTGGGTTGCATAATTTCCAGTGATATGGGTAAGAAAAGTCAACAAAATGAAGAAGATATTAAGTGGAGAAGGATATTATCATCAAATAGTGAAGAAATAAACATGGAATAAAGGAAGAAAGAGAGAGAGAGAGAGTAAGACCACCTAAGCTATATCGATTAAGTTTACCAACGCTTAATTTTTATCACATTGTGAATCCTGGCCTAGAAGCCTACAATGCTTTTCTGTATACTTTAAACCTAAATAAGACGAATTAATGTCTTTATCTGTAGAGGATTAGACCGTTTCAAATTCTACCATTAAGGCAGTTTAACATGGTTATGATCTATTAATCATGTTATACTCTATATAATAAATATCTTATTGTGTTTCTAATTAAAATAAACATAATTAATTCACAATGTCATCAATGAAAACTGTTTACTTACCCCAAGAAACTGACCAATAATCGATGTAATAAAGTTCTGTAGAGAAGATCCTAAATCTGGCTGATTAATATCGACTTGTTGCAGGAATAAATAAGCCACTTTTAGTAACGGTAATTGAAGACATGGTGGTCCAGAAGTCAATAGCTAAAAATTAAGAAGACAACCGTTTATGAAAGAAAGGAATGACATTACACAACCTATGTATGTATCAGTATTACAGTGAAAGGCGCGTGTCAATTGAATTAATGCACATTATTCTAAAAGAACCCTTATAGTCATATAAAGTTAATACACAGTGGTACTGTATGCTGTATAGAACTAAATCAAAATAATGAGTCAGAGTCATAGGTCTTGATTTCTTTTCCAAGTGGTTCACCAATGACCATACGATACGTTATATTTCAGTGTAATACAAACTGCATTCAATTCGTGAGTGCAATCTGATTATCGCCTTTCTGAAATAGAATAAATTTGACAGAAACAATTAGTCATTTTGAAAGTGAATCTTCAAAAGGACAGATTGCAGAAAATTCCCCTTATCTTAAACCTAATTCAGTCAACACAAGAAATTTCGCTGCTTATTTGTCGTCTAAGATTCTACAGATGAAGTATTATTAACCCTAACACACTTCAGCGACTCAGGGATTGACTTACTACCAGGGAATAATCTCGTCGACTTAGAATATGCGGACGATATAGTCCTTCTAGGTGAGGACGCTGACAAAATGCAGAGTCTACTGAACACCCTGAGCAACAATCTTCGTATGTTTGGCATGCGATTCGCCCCTGTAAAATGTAAGATGATGCTGCAGGATTGGACTACACCGACCTCTAGATTAGAAATAGGAAGTGAAGTGGTAGAGCACGTTGACCGCTTCAATTACTTGGGAAGTACCATCAGCCCTAACGGGTTGATATCCGACGAAATCTCAGCACGAATACAGAGGGCTAGGTTCTCATACGCCAGTTTACGCCGTCTCTGGCGTAGACGCGATATCCGACTATCGACCAAAGGGCGTGTGTACTGCTCAACAGTCCGCTCCGTCCTCCTTTATGGCTGTGAGACATGGCCATTGAGAGCAGAAGACATGAAGAGATTAGCTGTCTTCGATCATAGGTGTCTGCGTTCCATCTCCCGCGCGAAGTGGTATAATAAGGTGAGCAATATTGAGGTTAGGCGTCGAGTTCTAGGTAAGGAGGGGAAATCAATAGACGAGACTGTGAAATTACATCGACTGAGATGGTTAGGGCATGTGCTACGTATGCCTAGTCATCGCCTTCCTCGACGGGCAATGTTAGCTGATATAGGGCCAGGCTGGAAAAGAGCTAGCGGTGGTTAAACGAAAACATGGCACCAGTCAATGAAATCCACAACAGTTAGCTTAAGCCACGTAGGAAGATGTAGACTTCCTGGTTGGTTGGTGTCCTCGGGACGGTAAAAACCAATGGTTGGAAACAATTGGTGACATGGCTCAAAATCGTTCTCAGTGGCGCAGATGCATCCACTCCTTGTGACTCATGATTTCCAATTAAACTGTTTTGTTCTCCGTTATTACCATTCTTTTGTCTCACACCTCTGTTTACTGACTATATTATGCATTTCTTCTACTTTCTTCTCTTCCTTTGTGTGCTACATGGAGTGTGGCGACTTAAACTGCCTCACATATGTGCAAAGTTCTATGTCGAAAACCGACTGACCGATTATGCGTATTAATACTACAAAGAAGAGAAATTAGTGGCAACGTACAATCATTGTATACATTGGAGAATTCTTTTCAACTCAATCAACACATTTTTCAAACATAAGTGAAAACAAGCGGAGTACTTGACAAAAAAGAAGTGTGAAAATAGGAGTCAACTCACCATATTAATGTGTTTAAGCATACGAGGTGCATTTGATCCACAACCTTCTAACAGATAGCATATAACACACTTGCTCCACTGATCAACATCCTTGGAAAAATTACCAGAAGCATACAGTCTTAGTACAAGCGCTAAATTATTGAATTGAACTGGATCTATTTTAAGTGCAGCCTGAGCAAGTGATTCAGCAGCCTAAAAAAGTACAACACAACATAAGCTGAGGATTGAGGTTACAGACATGATACGGTGTTCACAATAGCAATAAGCAAAAAATAAAAGCATATCCACCACAGAGAAGAAAATCGTTATGGAAACAAACTTTTCAATAACTGCTATTCACTTGCACATAAAACACGCAACCCTAAAAATAAAATTCACAGATCAATTCTCATAAAAGGATACTACAGTAAGTTAAGCTTACTCCTATTTTACAATATTTATAAATATCCTACTCAGAGATGGATTGAATGGCTGTAATAGTCGTTTGCCTACCCTAACTCTAATAGTGACGCTGAAATGGGAAGAAAGTTCACCCCAGTTAACCAAATGCCTTAAAACCAAGGTTCGACCTCATGAATGCCAAAGAACATCTGACTGTGATTCTGATGAAAATCAGTAAGTTCAAATACCATAATATGCTGCAAAGAATGCGATGCATTTATTTAGACCGCATTACGTATTAGGATCATAAAGATAGTAAACGAAAAAAAAATGAAACCAGTTCTAATTATTTCAAGGTAGAGAATATGATGAAAACTAACTGTTTATCACCACCCTACCTTTCACAGTTATATTCATTCAAAAACACCAAGAACGATGAAAACAGGTCTGTAGTTCTATAGAGACATCGTAATCATTAGGGTCCTCCAGATCGGTGTGAGGACAAATACTCGCCGATGACACTGGTTGATGGTAGCGCTGAAGTGAGGAATCCACAGGTCACTGAATTCCAGCACAAGTGGCTGAATGGTCAGCGACCTTGGTTTCGTAACCTGAAGATGCCGGGTCCGATCCTTGGTGGGGTCATGGGTGGGTAATGCTGAAAAGTTCTAAACTGGGATGAAGTAATCATCCCAGTACACCCTGTTTTTCAATGGCTCTCTAACTGATATCAATCTGACGTCAAACCTGAAATAAATCGATAAAATGTAACTCTGAAAATATAAGAAAGAGTTCATTAACATTTATAGAAAACATACCTGAATGCATACGGGATTCTTCGGCCGTAAAACGGGTGATTTGGGAATCGAATTCATATCACGGTTTATACTTCCTGTACCTATCATATTTAAATTTAAGGTTGATTCAGCTCCACCGAAAACTCCAAGACTGTTTGAAGAGTAATTGCCGAAAAGTCCTACACTATCCGTCCTCATTTTCGAATTCGATGCTACAGTTGAGTTCGGGTTGGCAAATGAAGTATGTGCAGTGCAGTAACATGAAGTCCATGAACCAAGTGCTCGAGGTATAATATTCAATGATGAACTTACACCCCGACCAAGAAATCCACCCTGTAAGAAACTAAACTGTTCAGAACTCATTTCATATGGATTAATGGGAACTGATGTGGACGGATCTTCATCCCATGCAGTAGTCAACATCGGCATAAGAGTAAGCAGAACAATAGGAAGCGATATTTGGACTGGTAAACCCATACGTCCAGATGGTACTACCAAAGGATGAGTAAGAAACGGGATTAATATTATGAGTAACCGACAGGCTTGATCTACTAGATTCGGCGAAGAGCAACCCTGTGTTAGAAAGGGGGGAAACAGAATAAATACTGGGTAGAAAAAGGCATCAACAAAAAATAATGTAATCATGAAATACAGGCTACCAGGTCCATTTATCAAAGGAACAACGTATTTTCAAATTAAAAGACCTAATGAGAAGTGATTGAACTGTTTGAATGGTATCATTTTAAAGTCATTTAAGAGGATGTGTGAGAAAACAAGGATCAAGGGTCCACATGTCTTTAGAAGAGTGACGGCTCACCAAGTGTGTGACTACAGACGTCATAAAAATATTTTGAATTTTTTCAGAATAATTCGAATGAAGGTGAGCTCGCACCTATTATCTTGAATTACTTCTCTAGTTCACCAAGTGACTACTGTCAATCAGATAAAACGAAATACAGTCTCGTAAAGGTATTACTTTCAGCTTTAAGACGAGAATGTGAAAGCCAAAGTCAAACAGATAAACTCTCATTAAGCAGTCCATACTAAAAACAACTCACTTTAATCACCAAACTGAGTATCCCAGGGAAATACGGATTCCAACGCAATTGATTAAGCATTTTCTGAGCTCTGTCACTGAGATTAATTCTTGAACCATTCGACAAACCATGCGCTGTCGATGACTGCCTGGAATTTGACGCACAGATACTTGGAATAACCAAGCTTAGTAACTTCAGGCCAACTAAGTATTCATGCTCAAAATCTGATTCCAATAGTAGAACACCCGTCCAGAAGATGCCAACAATTAAATCGGCACGCTCTGCTGCAGGTAACAAGCAGGTAACACCATTATTTCGATTATTTAACTTGGGTGAAGATGTAACTGAAGTGTGAGATTTCTTGGTCAAATGACTAAAATCGGAACAAGAGACAAAACAAATGATGCTCTAAGTGATACAATATGTAGTTATTAGCTTTTTTCTCACCAGTAAAAACAGTTACATGTAAAATGTCAAAAATACAAAATCCCCATCTGAAAGTTAATAAAAACGAAGTGCATAGAAGTTTAGGGTTAACTAGTGATCATTTGAAGAGAAAAAAAAGCGGATATCCATTAATATTACTACCTTTAATTCCTAGAGAAACATAGGGCTTCAGCCGTGCGTCTCCATTGCGTTCGGTTCTCTGCTAGTCTTCACCTGGCTCCAAGTCTGCCCACATGCTTTCATCTCCTCTTCACATGACCTCCTCCAAGTCACCCTCACCCTTGCACTGACGACCAACTCGCCGCCTCCCTTTCGGGTTCCACTCGAGCAATGGCTTGTCTAGTGATGTCACTTGATGGTTTCCTCAGGGTATGGCCAATCCATCTCCATTTCCTTCTGCCTATTTGTTTCACAATCGGTTCATACTGGGTTGGTTCGCTCCCAGAGATCTCTGTTGCTGATCCTTCCTGGCCGGCCATCTGATCTTGAGTATTGAGCGAAGACAACTGTTAATGAAGGTCTGTAGTTTGTTTGAGGTGCTCTTTATGACGCGCAGTGCAAGTCTCTGATCCGTATAGTAGCACTGACTTTACATTGCAGTTGAAAATCCGGATCTTATTTTTCACACTGAATGCTGTTGACCTCCACACAGACTTGATCCATCCCTATCTTCACATTTTAAGTATATTTTTATGAAGGCTTTGGGATAGTTATTTGATTCAAGAGTGGAGTGAACCAATTTTAGTTCCCTGCTGATCTCTTCCCCCTTAGTAACCGTGGCCAAGAATCTTATTAGCAGAGCCAAACATCGACTTACTGAGGAGGAAGAGATCAGCAGGGAAATAAAATTGGTTCGATCCATTCGTGAATCAAATAATTACCCCAAAGTCTTCATAAAAAGCGGTTGTGAAGAAACTATGAGATGACATCATCTAGCGAAATTTGTCTTCTAAATGCCTTATTCAAATAATATTTGCAAGTTTGAGGTCATATTATGATCATAGCTCATACAATTTTGTCTATCATGTTTTGATGACTGTTTCATGACTCATATGATTGGACAAAAATTTAAAAACGTGAGATGTTCTTTTTACATAAACCTCTGTTATGTTAATTTCGATTAATTTCCCTGAAGAAGTTCGAACCAGTTGTCAGAACGAAGCGTTGGAATTACGCATCTCATCTTCTCTGAGATTTTACAAATATCTACTTCTCACTCGGCGCCCAATTATCTTGAGCTATTCGGTCAAATCTTAATCACAGTTCATGTTAATTATTATTCTTTTCTAATGTTTTCAAAGCATTTGCATCATGTCAAAGGTCTAAGATGAATGAAACAATAAGGATCTCGATCTACTTTACTCCTATCGTCAAAATCAAAAGCTCAATTTACAGTTTCCTACATTAATCCCTTGGTTATGGCATTGGATTACTTCAATTTAATAATTTAATAAGCAGCATACACATGAAAAGGCAATAACTTTTTATTTTATAACCTTTATTTCCATATAATAATAACTTCAGTAAATATATGTAACCTACCTTGGAGTAGATGGGATCGATGAAGGTGATGATGAAACGCGTTCTGAAGACGGAGAAGTCGCCTGATCGGATTTACGTGTTGGTGAATCACTGACAGGTATCACAGTGTTTAAATGACATGGACGACTTCCAATTAGAGATGATGACTTCGAATGACGATGAAAATGCCGACGATCAGATACTGAGACAATACTCTGAATGGACTTGCGTCCATTTCCACTAATGGAGCTAGATGACGGAGAGGCAGGATCAGGACCAAATGTGGATACAGGTTCCAGTAAGCTATCACTTCTTGTTTTTAGGTGGTGAATAGCTGCCTCCTGTGTAACAAAAAGTTCAGCTACATATCCCTGGAGGGAAATCATACAAAATAGGAAACAAAGTGGCATAATTTCTGGAGTATGGAACTTTGTCATTTAAAAAGTTAGGATGGTTAAAAAAGGTTACAAAACCATATGTCGAAAAAGATCTTTCAAAATGAGCCAAATATTTTCTAGCATAAAGTATAAAATAAAATCTTCAACAACATAAAGACTCCTTTTTTTCCACCCAGGTTTCGAATCATATTATTTAAGTGAGTGGGTAGACGACGTATTTGAATTATTTGATCAGAAAGTGTTTGTAGACTGAGAGTACAGACATCATCACTAACAAGTTCAGTGCTTTCTCATAAGTAAAAATCTTAGTCAGACTGTGTTTTACTAAAACAACTACGCATTCAGAGAATATTAGCCCAATAGTCACAACTGTCTAGTTTTCTTTTCATTCCTTTTCATTTAGAGTGGAATATAAGGCTTAAAGCTTCAGGTATTGAAGTTACAGTAGCTATGGTACTGTATTTATTGAGTCAATTCATCAGCCTCATAACTAACCTTTCCTCTATACCGGGTTTACTACTGGCTATACAAGATTTAAGAGTGCGTCGGCGGATGGGAATCGACCTCGGACCATTTGGGTGGTCAGCGAGCATTCTACCATGAAACCACTGACAAACAGAAGTGATTCTGTAACCAGAGTTGAACTCAGGTGACCTAGGTGGAGGGCAGGAATCCTAACAAACAGACTACGTGGAAGCAATATTGTGTAGTATTTTATATAAAGGGTAAATACATGAACAGTGGTTCATTCCAGCACTGTGGTCGTCAATATATGCAATTATATAGGAACACAAGTAACATGTCCTTTAAGCAATGATACAGTGAGATTATCGGTTTCTAATGGTATGATATTGAGTTGAACTCCAATATCATCAAAAAATAGTGGGATCGTGGTACAACAGTTTAGAATATCAGATTTCAATCAATGGTATGATACCATCAACCATCAGAAGACAGGCTTTAACCGAATAATATATAAGTGAAGTGTGCATAGGCTTTCAGAAGCCTAATTTCTTCCCTTCATAACGTGCACGTATTACTTATTTGATCCCTGAGCTCCCCATATTGAGTCATTTCCAATATCATCACTACATTAGGAAACATTGAGGGATGATTTCGAACTTTAAACAATCAGCAAGTGTTGGATTTATTCGAACTTCATTGATTTTAAGTCAGATATCAGAGCGAAAACAACGTTAACGTTCAGCAAGTTTTGACTCACTCAATATAAATGTACTAATAAATCAAATCAGTAATTTTAAATAAATGTATTAATAGTTCTTCCTAATAGCTAGCTAGCCGAGTATACCCTTGATGAGCTCAGCCCCAAACGAGCGGAGCGGCCCGGTGTTCAGATCACTTCGATTTGGGTAGCGAGTACTACTGACTCATCTGAGTGGCATAGAAACTACTCATACGAGTCCATCAGTAGTATGTATATAGAGGAAATGTGCTTTGTCAGAATCAGAAACCAATGTGATAACACAACAGTTAGTATATATAAACGTCTATTCGCGCGTAAAAAGAGAATCTACCTGCATTTCTTCATTGCCATCGGATACTGTTTCTCCTAATCTGGCTAATAACTGTGACAAGGACTTCTTGTCCAAATGTGCACCAAGAGCACGGTGAATCTGTAAAGAACGACTGGCATAATGTCGGCTAGGACAGGATAAACCAGTGTTCAAAGCAGCTTGTGATAAACGTGCCACCAAGCAATAATTTGAATGATCAGACCATGCATCTTTGCAATTATCATCTTGATCAACTACACCTCGTCTGTTATGATCATGTGGTGGACCATGTAGACATTGTAAACAATTTTCAGCTTCTTCAGAACCAGCTTCAGATAAGGAAAGTATACGAGCAACTAGTTTAACAAGTTGTTCAAGTGAGTTCATATTCATCTTTGTTTTCATTGTGGATTCTTTAATTTCTGGTTTCTCATTGGAAAATGTTTGATTAAACTCATACTGATACGTTGATTGGATTGTTGAATTGAAGGAATTACGTTGCATATTAAAATCTTCCCAAGTCCATAAAGCTTGTCCTAAACTAAAATATTAAAACGATGGCAGTGAATACTGAAATACAAACACTAATTCATACGGTGAAAAATTCGATCATTTGACAGTGAACAGAAATACAATTTACAGAAATGATAATATTCACTGACTCAGACAACAAAAAGATGTACTACAAATCACTACCTCATGATAACATACACAAAATAATAATTATGACTGCATTAAAATTATATATAACACAAATCCAAACAGAGAGGAAACTACATTTACTACAGATACCAAGCAATGTCAATCAGATGCATGTTATACAGGTTCATGAGCCGTTAAAATCAAACAAATCACCGCTCAATACATTAGTCGAGGTACCCTGAATGGGAATCAATTTAAATTAAATAACATTATCATACGATTCAGTATAATCACCTTGAACAATCAGGTTCACTAACCAATCGGTAATAGAATTTTAACTGATAGTCAAAAAAACATAACCAATAATTCGACAATCACATAAATCAGCACACTGTCTTAACGGATTTATAGATGATTTATTTTACGAGGAAAACAACCATTAGAGATACTAGAAAAAAATCTTATTCAGTGAAAAAATTAAGAATACTCAGATTGAAGAATGAAGTTATTTAGGAGTTAGGAGCTAACTCGATGCAGCAAGAGACAAGCTAATCGAGATACACTGTGTGATAACAGGCCTTCTCTACAGCATTAAATATATATATATATATATATATATATATATATTCAAGAGGAATATTGCAATGAAACATTAAACTTACCCATCTAGAAGTATACACCTAAGTTGCTGAATAGCTTCTTCTAATAGTTTTAAGTCGGATTCTTTGACCTTTTTGGACTTTTCCATTTTCAAAGGATGATAATTTGATGCCTGGACATGGTTTGTCGTCGCTGTTCTCGACGGTTGTGAACTAGTGTACACAGATGAAGGTCGAGTCGCGTTCGAAAGTGTTTTACTACGTAGGAAATGTTTTTCTGAAACATCAATAGCTTGATTATTACTATTATTGACTGTATTTGACTTGTGCATTGTAGTATCATTAAAATACTGTGGTTCTGAGACATTAACATCTTGATGACGAGGAATTAGAGTTGCCGTACTCGTAAGACTGAACATAGAATCACTCAGTCGACCTTGTTTTATCAGAGGTGTTGGATTAGTTTGAAGCTGTGTAATCATTGGTGGACTACAGTTTGGTGAAGATGGACTAGCAGCTAAGCTAGCTGTTACGTCAATATCTTTCAGCGGTAACAAGTCAAGTGAGGCTGTGTGGTTATTGCCATCTGGCTCATTTTCAGTAGAAGGCATATTTTTAAACTGCTCCGTGTCGTCATATTTAACTGTTCTGCTGGAAACTATTGGTGACGGAAACAGATTATCACTTTCAGTTGTCATAAAAGGATCGATCACTAAGTTGAATTTTTCCTGTAACAGAGAAAAAAAGTAAGTAAAGTTACTAGAAAGATAGAAAAAACACGTTTTTAACTTCTATAAATGACATGAATACTGTCCATGAGAATCAGAAAGCGAAGATGAGGTTATGCAATACAGAAATATGAAGGGAAATTTCATACAGCTAAATACTAGTTTATTATTAGGTATCTCGCAATTCAACTCTGTTTTAAAGACTACTGAATACACTGTGTAGCTTATCCAATACCAAGAAGTGCAACATATCAAAAGCAAGGACTAAACTGAAAGTATGCAAAAACAAACAAAACCACCAAAAACCGATTAAGAAGAGAGGAAAGAATAATATAGCTCAGAGAGCAAAACAAAACCCAAAAGATTTTCATATTTTGGATTAAAGTAAAATTGTAATTAAATGATAAAGTCATCAGTTCATCAGCAACATCTTTCAGTATATGTTTTCTGTTGAATTATTGAAAACGTTGGCTAAAAGACCTTTTAAAACTGAAAGACAAGTACCAGGAAGCTGTTTGTAGTATCATATGCACAACAAAGTAATTACTTGACCTGTATGTACGACGCAAGGTCTTTAGTTGCATAAAAAATTACTTACACAGTATGGCCCACCATCAAAAGTCAGACGATAGTCTTGAACTCGAGGACCAGGCAGTGCAGACGGATGAGCAAGGCGACGAAGATTCGCTTCCAGTTCTAGTCGCAATAAATGCAAAGCATCATGATGTGGACAGACTTGGTCTAACAGAGAAACAAGCAATTGTTTAGATTCTTCTTGTATAAGAGCGCGACAGTGATCAATGCCTATAAATTTGAGAAAATTATAATAATAAATATTAGCAATGTACTGTAGAAATATAACTAACTAACCAACTAACTAACTAACCCAGATATCTAATGTCTACTGATAATAATCATTCATGTTTGTCTGTTTAAGGCGTCGAATGAGAATAAAAATACCTTTTCTAACTAAGTGAAGACTTTTGAAAATCCCTGGATATAAAGGTATTTCTATGCACCATTTGCAGTTAAAAGCACACAAGATTCTGATGGAACAAATGAGTCTCCTTGTCGATTAGATTAAAAGTCTAAGAAAATGTGGTTTCTTCTACACACAGCATATTATAGTGCTAAGTTAATAACAACAGCAATATTAAGAAGAGTGGAGTATGATTGTAAAAGTTCTCATATACAGATAGTCGAGAAATTCAAACCCTGGAATAAACATCTAGATACCACTCTACACAAAAGCTTCTCAAGCAATGATGAAAATGGTTTCAAAACTGGTTCAGGACAGTGATTTTTAGAGAAAATGAAATACAAAATTTCCGCAGGAGTGGTACTTTGTCTGTAATGAATTCAGCTAAAAAGTATACAGAAGTCATAGTCAGCCTTGAAAGCACAACAAAACTATGCAGTTAACTAATTTTTGAGAAAATCTCATCTTCATAGTATACTTCCAACTGATGCCCCTGTTAACGACCTGGTACGGCTAAGGGTGAGTTGCCTTCGGAATGCTCTCATGCGGTCATACGTTCTTAGTCTCTGCGAGGTAACTAGCATTCACTGCATTTACGTGGTTGGGATGTTTCTCACAAAAGTGAAACGGTGAATTCGAACGTCTGGAACTTATAATCGGACTGGTGGACGTACAGGTCGACATAAGGGTGCTGGAAAACCATGATTCCAAACTTACATGGGCTACAGAATCAGAAAGCATCGAAAGGTGTATAAACCTGTTTTGGAAACGTAGCTCCTGACGCTGCTCTAATGCATTGCCTTGAAATCAGACTTCAAGTCAAAGACTCGGAGATGATCCATTAATACAACCACTCGCTACAATCTGGACGTCCGGAAAGTATTTTAAGACTAACACAAACTACGAGATTTTGTGTGGCACAGCTTTTTGGTGCCTAAAATGTATCAAATTTGTGGTGTAATCAATGATGCGATAATTCGCAAAAGTATAGGTGACAACATTGTAGATGTAAGTCTTCATTTAAGATATTTGAAAATATATGGTTTGTAAAAACTGTATGTATGAATAAAGCCCAATAAAAAGAATTCTTGAGGTATCTGGTTAAATAAACACAACTGAATCTCAACAAACTTCATTAAATTTGCCAAGCACCCAAAAAGGCTGCGAAAATAATCAAAAACAAAAATTCGGCATGGTAGTAAATAAGTTAAACTGAAAAAAATATTTACCCAGAAATACACCAAGTAGCATAACAGGTAGATGCTGAGTCCAGTCTATTCGAATATCTCTACACTGAGTTAGGCCACCCGCTAGAATAAGGACTAAAGGTGACCTAGGTCCAGCAGGAGGCCATCCACCACTGAAAACGACTGATCCGCCAATCACCAAAGGTTCAGATAACCATGAACCAAGAGGAGCTTGATAACCTCCATTTATAGGCATGGGTAATGGTTTAGAGTTGCAATCAAAGGATATTTTACCAACCGAATTTGAACATGTACGTATGCGAACAGAAATAGGTTTGTTATCCATTTTGTCAGAACCAGTATTGCTTCTCTTATCAGCACTGGACAAATTTACTGGTAAAATGCAGGTATTAGATCCAGTAGATCCCCTTGAGGAAAGACTTAGAATAGTAGAAATGCTAGTCGGAAGCGCCAATGGCAAAGGAGGGAGGTCGGTTAGATTAGGTGGTAATGAAGCAGAATGCGGATGAGCATCCATCGCCAGAGAAGAAATTGTCTCATTTTTTGAACTATTGAACCACTTGAAACGTCTTTCTCTGAATTCTTTCAGGTATTTGGGTTGTCGTAAAGTTCTCCCACACATTTGTAAACGGGATATTTCATTTACCTGGTTTGGCAGTGTAGATGAAAAACCAGATCGCTCCTGAGCAGCATATGTAGTAGGGAAGGTTGTACCACGGTGAGGTACATTCGGCAAATCACAGTCAGAAACAGAATCACTAGATTCGAAATCCTTAGGAACAGGTTGGATCAACAAATTCGCAATATCTTTGGCACGTAGAGTAGCGTATTTATCATCCAAAGGCAGTCCACGTTTGCCGAGACCTAAAAAATAAAGTTCAAGTTACAATCGGTTGACAACATAGCTGGTTTAAACTTCCTCCATTAAACAACATGTCTATTCAAGATATTAAGTATGAAAACAAAAAATTTAGCTAATTTCAATGATGAAACACAGCTGTCACCGAAATCTGCAAGGAGTTGATGAGTCGGAATCAAGGTTAAGACGCTAGACAGCGAATTTACACAAGCTTTCATAAATAATAATACGTAAAGATACATCAGAAATTCACAATAATAAATTCACCGAATGCGGTATTTTACATTAGTTTGCAGTCTACCTACCTTCAAATGTATCAACATCAATCTCCGGTTCACCATCACTTCCTTCAACTAACTGACAATTTGATGATAACGGTAGACAATGAGATTTCTGTGCCCCAGGTGTTTCAGCCGTGGACGTGAGATTATCGTTAGCAGTTCCAGAAGCAGGCGATAGTGACGTGGAATGTATTTTTGTATTCCTCCTTTCTATCTGTGGATCATCTTTACTACTTCTATCAACACATGGTTGGCAAGTAGCTGACTTTGGACGAATAGCGACCTCAGGAGTTACAGTGCTGTTTAGTGAAATAAATAACATAGAGACAAAAGTTAATAATACACTGCAAAACACATGAACAAAGACAGACAGAATCAAAATTAAGCATAAAGAAGAACAAGTTTGCAAAAGAAGAATGCGATATTAGAAAGAAAGTGCAGACAAAAAGCAAAACCAACGCTTGATAATAAAGAATGGAAACCACAAGTAGAGAACAAGTCTTTGTGACTTTGATCATTTCTGAGACAATCTACAACATGAAAATTTTAATAAGGCGATGCCTAAAACACCCTTTAAGGAATTTGTGAATGTCGTCTGGCAAACATTAGGTTTTAGCACACTCCTGTGTAGATTGCTGAGTAAGCTTTTGTAAATCCGTATGCACCTGAAAATGTTGATGACACACTAAGCCCTTCAGCCGCTATACTCAGCTTACTAATATATATATATATATATATATATATATATATATATATATATATAACTCACTCAAAGATAATCAATCTCATTTTTCGTCTTCCACCATGGACTGTCCAACCTCAAGGTTGTAAAGGATAATACACAATGCAACTCCCTGGTAATAAATGTCAGATACCTCAAGATTTCACCAAGAAGGTAATGAAATAATGTGATATAAATCGTCAGAAAAGTGAAACAATCAACGCGTTCCCCTGACTCACAATCTACCATTCCAAAAAACGTAGATACAGACTGTTTGCACTACTGCATTTTACAGTTAACAAACTTGACACGCATAAAACTATAATCGGGTATCCACTTTGCATTTAGCAACCTTTTCACTAAACATTAAAGCATCATCATATATTTTTGAATAAATTAAACGCCACCTTGAGACTAAATTCCTAAAAAATCGAAAATAAACAGTATCATCTCTACCAATATGCTTGTGAGTAAAAACAATGGACATCCAAAGGTTGTCTATGCATCAAGTGACGTCTTTTATAAACTTTCACACTTCTTTTCAATGCACTCGACAATCTCTCAACATTTGGATGCTAACACACTATCTTTTAATCGACGGAGTGTTCAGAGACACTTAGATATCTAAAACTATTTTTCTAAAAACACGTCAAACGGCGCCAACTATGTTTTTGCGTCATAGCCCCCCCTGAAAGATGAACATTTGATTGAGTTCTTTTTTGTAATGAGACTACTTCGGATTGCTATCACTTACTGTTTCTGAGCACCCGTTATATGCCAAATGACTATGTTTCCTTGAATCTTAAACACCACGTCAGACGGAAAATTTTCATTAGGAAATTTCCCTTTTAACATAAAGTGCAAAGGTCAATGATGCCACACATCTGACCACGTCTCATCTTCATAATTCATCTATTTTGATCAAAATATTTCAAAATAATGTTTCGGAAACATCTATTAGAAATAATTCAGGTTCTGCGGTTTCGATTGCGTTAGATATCTTGACAAGAGCTGGAGGACACTTGCTTTAACGAGAAGCTAAATACTTACCATGAGTAAAGTATAGTACCTCTTAAAATAAATCATCGAAAGTTTCTCCTATTTATTTTGAAGGAATATCAGAAAGGAATTTTGTCGAGAACGGCCTCAGATTCCTCGATTAAATAAATATGCATCAAACATTGATAATGTGTACTGACAAAAATGCTTACCTTGTATTTGGATCGCCGTTAACATTATGACAATCATATTTCCCTCCAACAGCGCTACGCAATGTACGTCTTTGTGTTGTTGCATTAAAATTATGAGCGCTATCCAAACCTAATGCAATTAATTCAGCATCCGGTTGTACAAGACCATCTTGACTTGGCAATGTTTGAGAGGTAGGTTTCTTTAAGGAGTCTTCAAACACTTTCGATGATGAGTAATGCTTAATAAAAGATTTCACCTTAGAAGATTGTATATCCTCATTCGATTTTCGTTGTGGTATGGAAGCACTTACGTGAAAGAAGGGTAGATTAGGAGAGGGCTCTACAATCAAGCCAATACCATCAATTGTCTAAAAGATGAGAGAAAAAAAGACCAAACTATTGACCACTTCTAATTGCAAACTCATAATACAGCAATGTAACACTTGAATAAATGACAAGATTATGACAGTCTAAGGACATGAGTATGTATCACTAGTTGGTTTCACTTTAAGCTGAAATAACAAGGTAGTAAAACTAAACTAGCCGATTAAAAGTGAGGTAATCCAAAACATGAACCGAAGATTCTATGCATACATTTAGCAAAAAATGCTATTCATTTAATGAAAAGCATATTATCAATACGGTGAAATTGATAGGGTGGTGGTTTGTTCAGGTATTTTGCTAATCTCTCCACTTTAGCTTTTATTATTGACGTCAGTACCAACAAAAAACCCTCCTAATTGACACCGCAGACAAATTTCTCTTTTATAAATTATTCTTTAATGAAGAAGACACTTTTAAATAATATATACGCATGAGTGTTGTGCAGTAATATCTAATTACTCATATTATGCTAGAAGGAATTTCAACATTGCATTAATAACAATAGACGACTTAAAAACCATAGTGTCCTGTTTTTAGAAAACACACAAGCCAACCAAACGCTAATTTTGTGTGTCTCTATTGAAAAGCATGAATAACTGAAGCTGAAAATGCTGCAAAATAATCATCTGTTGAAATTACACAAATTTAACAACGTAACAATTTAACAGAACAGATGAAACTAACTTGCATCTCAACCATTAGTTCGCCTATAACACTTTCAGGTTGCTCTGAGGCCAAGTAGGCAAGAAGACGTTTAACCTGGAATCAAAGCAGAGATACAAGCAAATTTAAGTGATATAACAATACTAACAAATACTGAAATAACGTGATGGATGATAGTTGTGAATTCATGCGCTTTTCGATAGTAGTTAAAGCACAGATATAAACTATTATGCAAAAGCAAATTGAAAATGCCAAACAGCTTTTGCATTCACCAGTACAATATTAAAGACTATTACTGACTTTAATAACGTAGGTAGCAAAGAAAATGTCACCGCACGAGTTTTGTATATTAAAGTAACTGATTAGAAAGCATGTAACTATTTCAAGTACATTGATGGAAGCATTATTTTAGGAAAATGCGCTAAGTCGAGATATTGATTGGGCTATACTAATGCAATTACAATATGTTAAAGAATGAATTATTACTACACTATCTTATGTCGCATAACAATGTTCAGAACATAAAAGTTAAACGTTTACTTAAGAGATTCTATAAATCTGACTGTTAATGCAACAAGTAGTGACACATATTTACAGAATTCGATAGTCCCACAGATTATACAACGTGATACAACGAGTTTCAAATCATTGCAGCCAAAAGCCATCGAGAAAATCTAGCTTAAATGTGAACTATTCGCTAAAATAACCTAAAAGTAAATGAATTCAATCTTATAGCATTATAATTCATCATACATACATAAGGTAACAAATGTTCAGTGACATGAAAGAAAATTAGTTGGGCTCACATGTATTAACAGGGTGCCAGGTGCGAGAGATGTAATGATAATTAGGTAACGAATAATCACTCGCAGATTCGCAGACCGATGACGAATTAGTGTAATCCAAAGTTGCTTTAGCGCCTCAGATGAAGTTGGACAATCAGCAAGTCTTAATGTCAGGTAGAATAGGTTTGTGAGAACAAACTCAGTGGCCTGAAAATACAATTAATTAAAAGGAAAAAAATATCACTCGTTTAGAATGAAATAAAAAGTGAAATATATAGAAAATATATTTCATTTGCAGCATATCACCATGTTTGAAATTACATTTACTGTGAAATCAAGTGATAGCCGATGAACGTGAACACAAAACACAAGAAATCAACTACTTCGCATAATTACCTAACTACATATTTTATCCAATTAATGTTATCAAACGATTTCAAAGTCGTAAAATCATGTATTGTGCTCAAAAGTTAACTTAAATTTGCATCACACAGAGCAGTGGAATACTACTTGATGCGGAAAGTCGGTCATGCTAAATAACACAATAGTATATTTATGCTACTTAAAAAGTCAGTTTCATAATATATGACTTACTGACTATGCTGAATTCAATAGATCTACGTCAATTCCCGAATAGTTTTTAATCACCGGCTTTGAATATTTCAAAGACTAACCAGGTAAACCATAAGTCAGAGACTTTACGGCTTGGTGTTACTATGTTATTTGAGAATCTTTAGATTTTGTCTCATCAGTTAACATAGCTCATTTATGATGCTGTGGCTCATATTACATCCAAGTTGTATCAGTAAGTGAAGCTATAAAATCTACTTATTTACTCAGTACTTCACATCTCATCTCAGCATCACTCAATCGGGTGTCGAATAATCCCACAACCTAAAACACCAGCTGACCATAAAAAATCTACAGAATTTAATTTTCAATAAACCTAAGGATTCGTAATCAAATGAATCTTGTGCATCCAAGACTTTATTGGTGTGTAAGTATCAACGAACAAAACAAGATACAACAGTGCCACTCTGTTTCCCTGAAATCCTAAGAATCTCATAAGTAGATAAAGACATTCATTTGAACAGGTTATCAACGGATAAATGAGCGGTTTGACTGCTTATCTGTAGACTTCAATCAAAAAGCACCGATGAATAGGAAATGTGACCGTAGGCTTAACTGAAACAGCATTCATCAGTGCGCTGTATTTCGGTATCGAACGTTAGTAGTTTTCACCTCACATAATATTATCTAATGTCTTAAGAGAATTCACCTTACCTTGGAGGCTAGGACCAATACTGTTCAGTTTCGAAATCACAGACGCTATGGGAGTGTTGTCACATTTTTAGTGATAAAATCAGTGTGTTCGCCTAGTTTAACAATATAGATGAGAAAAGCCATCCATCTATTAGATAGAAAAAAATCTATGAGCTGATTTCCGCGTTCTACTGCATAAAAGTAAGACTAAACTTTGAAACTACTACTGAAAAAGTGCATTGACATCACATATCATTAGATAAGCCGTACCAAAACATATAATTAAAAAAATGAGTAAAAAATCTGGAAATAAATTCAAAAAAGAGCAACGAACTTGTTTTGAACCCCATCCTTTAGATCGAAGTGTGGGAGGAACAGTGGACCATAATGCAGCATTATTCGTTGCAAACGTTGCTTTACACCCATTTCTGAAATGACTATTATAACAGAAATTTGAAGAGCGGAAAGAACGAGGACTATGTAAATCTGTATTTTCACCCATCATTGCTTGACGAGCACGCATTCTTAACAACGAAAGTGATTTGAAGCTTCGTTGATGGTTAATATTATCTGAATCAGCATCAGTATCATCGTGATCATAACGTAGTGATTCAGCATTCAATAGGCTTTTCGAACGTTTATATCGCTTAGACAAACGAATACGATATTCTGGATTATCTTTTCTGACATTAATATGTTGCTGTTGTTGTTGATCTGAAGTAACATTATTTGAGACGTCAACGATATCTGAAGGCTTCTCATAAGTACTCATAGAGAACGGGTCGTTTTCTTTTTCCGTGTACGAAAAATCATCATCCATATCTAAATTATGGTCTGGTGAGTCGTATACTTCGCCTTCAATAAGATCAACCAGTTCAACATTTACAAACCAAGGTGAAAGTAAATGCAGTAATGGAACACGAAGACCTTCTCGAGCATTCTCAAGACGTCTAGAGACCTCTAAAATGCAATGCAATCAATAAACCAAAATGAGTAAGAAAATAGATTACAAAGAAAGTATTAGGAGTTAAAGCCACCTCTAGCTAATTTGTACGTACATTTCACATAAATGCTAGAACTTAAATGCACTTGTTTTCATATGAGACATCACACCATCCAAGTAAAAGAAGACTAGTGTTTCGTGTGTGATGAAGATTTACAGGATCAATTAACTATTGAGATCTCTATCATCTAGAATTCATTCATGCTTCAGTGGTTGAATGGTAGAGTGCTCACCAACCAAGCATTAGGTCCAGGTTGGATTCCCAGCTGACGCACTCCTAACCCTCGACTAACAGGGTGTAAGCCCGATAAAGAAAGGACAGGGACACATCCACCTCACCCTGTAAAAAAACACTAACGCTACTGAAACTTCAACGCCGAAGCATGAAGCCCCATGTTCTACTGGGAAGGGGAAGGAATTAAAAAAAGTGGAGTATCATACTGACAGATTTGCCCGAAAAATGTTTCGTGTATTCGTACAAATATATAATAATAAACGTTTATAAAAGATGAATGAATGATAAGATACTTGCCTGAAAAAATAGTGAGTGTGTAGTCTGGATGTTGGGCGGCAAATTGTCGTAGGACTTCACACGGCGACCAGTAGTTAAAGGAGCGATAAAATAATTTGTTCATTTTTAAATATGTAGACAGATGGGTACATTCACAGTTTGGTTGGTTACATGTAGATGACTGAGACTGAGGTGAATCCTTGTCTGAATATGGTTTTTTAGATTCCACTGAATGTACTTGCTTGTACAAAATTTCAGCAGGCTGTCATAAGAAAGTTAACAGCAATAAATCACTGAATAAAATTAGAAAATACATATAAAACGCGAGAACCCGAATTATTAGGGATTCACTGGTGTGGAAATAGTCCACATTATGATAAAAGCGCCCTATAGTACTTCCTTTTTAGTGCAAACTGTGCACCATAACAGTGGAATGGAAGCTGCGTAAATTACGTTCAACTGTAATTTCTTAGACTTCAACAAACTAAACTTTATTAGTTATGACTTGAGTTTCAGAATAATAACAACCTCTGTTTATCGTTGAACTATTTTTCCCAGATATTCAGTGAGCTAGTTGTTTAAGGAATTTTAGGTCAACAGGATTCGTTCCACCACGTAAAACCTTCAGCAAATGTTCAACTCTATAACGGGAAGTGATTGTCAATTCTATCATCACTAATCCAATGCCATAAAGCACCATTATTCACTTGTTTCAATCTCCAGACTCAATGTACTACATTAATTCTGTACAGAATCTGTCAGCTGGGAAGCTTATAATGATCGACGCCGCAATCAAAAAAGAAAACAGAAATTATGCTAATAGACTTTAAGAAGATAGATTGGTTGTAGTTATTATACTTCAACAAGGAAGGCTAACTTTGATTGTCAAGAAGTTTGCACTACTAGCGTATCTAACTCACCGCCAAAGTAAGAGCATTCAAAAAATCACAATAAGATGATAATACTATGTTTCGATGGTAATTCTGTAATCTTAAATTATATATATTTTTGAATAAATTATGAAAAGGTGAGACGTTAATCTAATATATTTCGAGGAAATAATGAAAACATTTGTGGACTGATATTTAACATAAATCTTGCTAAAAAAAAAAAATAAAGTTACAATCGATAAATTCATGGATAAAATAATACTGGTACGGAACGTACTTCAATAAAGAAACGCCGATACAACACGCGCAGTAAATAAAAGGCTCTGTCACTCAAAAATCTCGACGGATGATCAATAAAAACCAGGCATAATGTGATTAGAACAGTATGATCACAAGTGAAATTAGGTCTACATAGGAAAGAAGATGCGTAAATAAAATAGAAGTGATAAATATGACTTGTAAATGAAAACAATTATACATAAAGAATTAACATTCCAACATTTTTTATGAACCGAAACGGCTGTACTTTTATAAGTTTACGAATTCATGAAATCAACTAAATGGTGACTTTTAAATTCCAGAGTAAATAAGACATGATTATTCTGAAGCCTATCAGTGAGAAAGCATAGTTTTAGTGGAGTATTTTCTCATATTTCAGCAGTGAGCTATGAAGCTACACTACTGGCTGAATAGCTCTCATATTGATATAAGAACTGTGATCATATCAACTACCTCACATATATCATAAATTAATCAGGAAATTAAAGTAACGGGAAACTGACTGCATTATAACTAAATCATTTGAAGTTATTCAAAAGCAGAAAGCCAATAGCAATCAAATATTTAAAGATTAATTTCACCAACGCGGAATAAATCACTATGTGGAATTAAAGAAGGAATGGAGAGAACAATCCCACCTAATATCACCACCTAAAGAATAACTTCAATCATCCACATTTTATTTAATTTGCATAATTCCACTGATTCCACTGTTTTTCTTTAATGTTTAATCGGTATGTCTGTGGAAAATGAATTCATAAACCTGTGCCGTCATAAATTATTTTGAGCCATGTCGTAAACAGTCTCCGGTCATTACCAACTATAGGGTTAATGCCTAATTACATGTGGCTTAGACCAAAAGTCAATGGATTCATAAACTGATGATATATTTTGGTCTGACCACCTCTAACGCTTTTGCAACTTAATTCTACTTAAGCTGACATTGAGGTTAGAGGAAGTCGGCAGCTCGGTATGCGTAACCAAGGTTCTATTCACCTTAATCGATAATGCTGTGAAATTTCATCGACTGAAGTTCCTTATTCAAGTACTGGGTTCTTAATTATCTAACGTAATTAATACTTTACATGTTAATCCACCTAACTATGAGCAAATAATGAAGAAACCCATGGTCGGAAATCACTAATCTTTTCATATTCTACCTTCGGTACCGATGTCTCCACCGTAGAGTAGGACACTGAGAACTACGACTTTCAAACAGATAATACAGTATTCCATTTGTGTCTATGATGATGATGCAAGTTTAAAAATGCTTTTTGCATCCCTGCTGAGATGTCATCAGTCGTCTGAGACAGAGACAACAATTTCGACCACTTCAACGTCTCTCCCTAAACTAGCGGTTAGCGCAGACTAGTCTTAAATATGATAGGAGTGAAGCGAATGCCAGTGTGTTCATGAGGTTACACTTTATCAATGTCTTAACTCTACTAAGAACGCTGACACGTTTATCTGACGCTCATATAGTTCACCTCATTCCGAAAGCATCAACACTGAATATCTTTGCTGTATGCCGATTATAAACAAAGATCTGTTTTAAAAGAAGCAAAATTTTATGTCCTGCAGATAATTTTAGATAATAGATATAGTTCGTATTGTGGACTGATTACCTATTGATGAGAAACCATGCGGATAACATCTCATGAAAGGATTATATTCCAGTGGAAATTTATGAAGAAAAAAGTAATATTTGTACACTCTTATGAAGTATATCACTCAGCGCCAACACTGTTGAGGAATTCAAAGCTAAACAGAGAAGCAGCTGCATTTCATACTAACAAACAAAAAAGTGCTACAATGCTTAATTATTTTTCTTCAAAAAGGATAGTAGATAGTAGTGACTCTGACTACTGGTTTAAAGAAATGACAATTTTCTGCTGACTAAAGCTTAACAGAGAACAAATAGATCGTTGACAAGAAATAAATTAATTGCAAACTACTCACATATTACTCATTATAAGGCAAATACATTCAAAACACGCTGTAGATAGTGAAATGTTCGATGAAGTATAACACTGATCGACCACCCAATTGAAAAGGCCACTATTATCTGTGTTGAAATCCAGTAGAAGAACCAAAGTTTCTTCGCCTAACTGACGCAGTAACTAAAATAAATCATAAAAGAGAAAAAGTAATAAAAAACACTCTATGATGTTCCACACTCAGATATTCAGTAAGGTCAGTGTATCGTTGCATAGCGTCGAGCTGTTAATTGATCCTTGCTACTCTTGTTGTGAACACTAGAGTACACAGTGGATAAGTGAAAATTAAAAATTGATACATTGATTATAAAATGGAAGCCTGTATGATATCTTTTACAGAGAAGTAATTATCTGATGGATAAACATCTCAGACGGACAGTCGAATTATTACACTAAAAGTAATGCACAGAGCGTCGGTGGTATAGAGGTTAGGACGCTCGCCGACCATGCACAGGGTCCGGAGTCCGATCCCCGGCCGACGCACTCCTTTACCTCGCTAAGCTAGAAATAGTGCTGGTGAAGAGGAAAGGTTGGTCATGAGGCTAGCAACCCCATCCTGTAAAATAAACACTGCTACAGAAACTTCAAGCCACAAGCTTGAAGCCCTATGTTCCACTGGGGAATGTGAAGGAAAAAAATGCATAGAAGGTGCAGAAATATGACACCAGTTAGAAGTGAAACTTACAGAATCTAATCGACGTCCACCACCAGCTGCTATTGTGCGTGACCGCGTGTGACTATTGCCACAGAGTGAGGCACCACCAGGATTAAGAGTATTATGCAAAAGACCACGGCTAGTGATGGGACAAAACCATAACCATGGACTTGAACTAAGAGCAGTGTCGCGTGCAACTAGAAGTCCGGAAATCCAACGAAGTACATAACCAGGGCTTGGAGTGCAAACATTTGAACACGAAGTACCATTTGAGCGATCTGAACATGAACCATATGCTGAATCGGATCCAGGAACTGCTGCTCCCTGGTTGATTTTGGAATTATCGTGTGGTAAAAGCGCTAGACGATCAAATATCGGCCCACAACATACTAGCGCTGCCATAGCTTGGTTCGACAACCAGATCAGGTCAATCCATAAACAATACTCTAGAGAATCAAGTCCTTCAGTTTGTTCGTTATTTGAAACTTTCTGTTGAAATGTAGGACTATGAGAAGCTTGGTTTAGAGGGATGGTTAAATTTGCAGTAGAGTCCGTAGATCCCGATGATGTGGCATTATTAATACTCAAGTTATTAATAGATTGCAGAAAATTGTCATTTACCAACTGATGATGAGGTCCGATAAACCCCGGTGATATTTCATTCGATGGAGAAATACCAACCACGCCACTGGAACCGGTGGTATGCTCAGTGAAGTCAACATTTGAATTACTAAAGCAAGACTGTATAGGAACTGGACCTTCAGATCCAAAGCTGAAAGAGATTAAAAAATTGGGTAGATAAATTGAAGGGAGAGGGTTATATTCGAATTTGACTACTAAATCGTGAAAGGACGTATGAATAATCTTCGCTGTAAAAGTAAAGTCCACAAAACCCCAGGTACTAAAGAATATAAAGCCCTACAATTTCTTATATTTCCATCGTATTTGGAACCCAAGTCATTCAATAGTGAAACTGGAAGCTCTACCACTAAGTCATACCAATTCCCTCAAGGTTGTAAAGCTTCGTTTTAATTGATTCCTCGTAACAACTAATAGTACTATCCACAACAACAACTGCTGTGTCATTAACCAATCCGGACTGATCTAAATACCGAGGGACTGTTTTAGTCATTTACCATGAAGCTAAGCTGGAAAGGTACATGGAACATAAAGGTGAGAATTATGCAAGCTACACGAATTCTACTTAGTTAACGAGATGCAAAGTGAGAAGCGGAAATGGATAATCCATAGGGAAATATAGTTACGCTTTAATTTGCGAGTCATTAGCATCAGAGTACATTTATGATGAGATTAGTTTCACACAACCAAAACAGTCAACTAGTATTTAGATAAACTCGATCATCGGTGGGGGTAATTTTCAGCTAATCATATCAGTCCATACTATATCCTGTCGAGTTAATTAGACTTCCAATCTTGATATCACTTATGGTGTTAATTATATATCACAAATAATGATCGGTATATAATATCCGACGACTGTATATCCAGCATATAGCTGAAACGACTAGAAATAGGTCTAAATTTAGTTCATAACCAATAGTTAATACTCGAATAAATGCCAACTACGATCAGTGGTGATCGTAACATAATCGTGCTTACCTACTATGGTTTGACAGATGCACAAGCTGTTCTATAACAGTGACGTCTAATAATTCATTCCATTTAAATGTTTAAATAGCCTCAGGTGGTGAAGAACCTCAGTTTTATGTCAAAACATTAGTGTTGGAAACAGCATATGAATTCTAACGATTTCAAGAAGAGAAAATAGTAAAAAAAAAATAGTAAATACACAACTTACTAAGTTCCCATAACATGATCGTAATGAGCGCTCCAATGAGACAATAAAATGAACAATTGATGTCTTAATGTAGGTGGTAATAAGTTGGCACGACTTTGCTCTATAAAACAAAAAGAATGAAGCAATACAGTAAAGGTTGAAAATATTGACTAACAGGCTTTCATAAAAGAGGAAAATAAGAAACACCAAGACTGAGCGACAAAATCAACATCATATTAAACTTCCCGTAACGGATACATATGGAATCTAATGCATACAACCTACTAACCATAGAATGTAAATTTAATCATCTGCTAATTCATATAATCTTGATTAGAGCTGTAGGAAATAACATGAATTTCGTTCATATGATATTATTCAAGGCGAACAGTTGTAATGCTGTGTTAGAGGTGAAAAATAAGAGCACTAACCAAACGATACTAACTGCATAGAAAACTGAGGTTACATAAGAACGAGGCTGCCAAATGTATGAGGAATGACCATACATGAATAAATAAATATGAAATATTTTCTCCATGTAAGACTGAAATAAGTTGCGTAACACCAGCCACACATAACAGTATTTTTGGGAAGACTTTTACAGTTACCTTTTACAAATTAGCACAATATAGGTTGCAGAATAATTATGTGTCAACACAGATGGCTGTTTCACTTAAAAGTTAAACATACAACTGGAAACGATATAAACAAAACAATTGGAACTAAAGTAATTGAAACGTTTAGAGCGTGTGATGGTATAGGTGAGACAAACGCATTTCTTATACCCCTTGGTCATGATATTTTCAAACCCAAATATAATGTAACAGAAAACATTTTGATTTGTTTTCAACCTCAAAAATACAGTGTGCACTCAAACAACTCAATTTGTTGCATAACCAAAAGACACGCGAAATGAATTAATTTTCGAACAATGAATATGAATGTCTAAAAATAAAGCCTGGTACTAGAACTGTAACAAAAGTAGTGATTATCTTGATTAGGTGATTTCACTAAAAACACTTGACTTCAATTGTCACGCGCTATAACCACACTACACTACACAATCAAACGTATCTAGTATCCGGGTGAAAACACAGTGGGACACAAAAGTCGTTTCTCCAATCATACCGTTTTAGAAGTAAGATAGCTGATAAGGAATATTACACTAAAGTGAATAATTAATTAGATACTACTAAGGAATTAATCAGTGTAACATTAATAATTTCGAGTCGAAAAAGATAATAAATATTTGTGCAGCAATACTTGTAATTTCATCGGAAATTCCTTACTAGGTAAACGTCGAATAAGCTCTTTGGTGAAAATGCAAAAGTGTAAGCGAATTTCATTCAGTAGATAGGCTTCAGATACTGAAGGCGCAGAGGACAAAGGAGTAGGTAAAGAGTTAACCACAGAACCACTGCTAATAGAGCCAGATACTTGATTACTCGTATTACTCCCACTTGTCCCAACTTGCTGGGATGAACTGGCAGAGGGCATAGACGCTAAAATATTTAAAGAAGCAGATGATGGATGCGTGTGACTAACAGGACTCAATAATTGATCGGAAACTGATTCTAAATAGCTTCTCATCCCATCTATATAATCCAGCAGCTGAGGGATCAAGGCTCCTTGTGGTGTGACACTGTTTGATTCGCTACAAGAAAATTAGAACAAATAATCAGTTTAATAAAAAAATTTGTTCAAGAAGTAAAATATATAAAATTAAAAGTATGGAATAATAAACACCGGCATTTTATCACTTGATTAATTTTATCAATACCCTGAGGGCTTTAAAATAAATGTAATTAGGCATGTTGACTTTAAAACTTAAAATTAAGCTTATGCATGAGAATCAGTCTTGTTCAGACATTGTATAAGTTAGAGTTTTGGTATAAAAACAACTAATTTATTAGTTAGGCGCTTAAAATTTACATAAGCTGTCGAACACATGATACGAATAAGCCTTATATCTAGATATCACACATGTCTTTGTCATAATAAGACACTGAACCAAAGCATCTAAGCGGAGTGAGAACGAGGAAGATGGGAAAAGCCTTATTTGACCAGTAAGCATAGATGGCTCATGGATTGAGAACATTTTATCAATAAAGAATTTTACCTAGTGCCCGTTTTATGTGATATGAAGATACCCCACTAACACACGTCCAACTTAGAATTTTAAAACAGTCAACAAGATTATATTCACAGATTCAGTGTTCGAAAGTTAAATAATGACAATAAATTCTACAACTTCCTGGCAAGAAACACCAGAGAAATAAGAGTTTTATGTAACTAAGCAAATGTAGAGTACTAATCAAAAGGCGCGTCAAGGTCGTTTTTCCATTTTAAAACTCAGAAGATTCAAAAATGACATCTTGTGTGAATGACTTAATTCTTGATACCTGCGCTTATCGAAATCATAATAGGTGTAGTTCTCTTTGGCAAAGACTAGCAGTTTGTTTTATTTCTCCATAACTGATTTAGTTATTTGAATAAAATAATAAAAATCTAGAAATTTAAGATTTCTCGTAGACTGTTCATATGTCGCTTCGAAACATTGAATCATTAGTGTTTCAACTATTATTCACGAAGGTTGACTGTAACGGAAAAAATTATAAGTGTTACCCAATGAATAACTGATGCAAAATCAAACATCCAAGGCATCATTTCTGCATTACACGATTCACTCAATGATTGGCAGTTGCATTTTTTAAGACAGAAAGTGTTAGAATTTAATCTAATGTTGATAAGCACAGGCCTCTGAATGTTAAGATGTCACTTGGTTACTGCTACATACTAGGATATCTTCACAAATACAACTTAAAACTTGAATAACAGTCAACAGTAACAAAAAGATGATAAGAGACAAATATGTAAAGTAAGAATGAAATCTGTGAACTGGATCTTGACAACTAAGTATTCAGATCACGCAGTCATTTATGTTTCTAAACTCTGACCAGATGGATTAATGTAAGGAAAATGTTACTTATACCAATTTCGTAACTCACGGATGTGCAAATACACCTGTTTGTGCCATAAGAGATAGTATCTTAATTAAAGCTGATCGTAGTCCATCCCGTCTACGACGACGGCGTAAATTCTCTTGTTTCCGATCAAAAGATTCTTTCAGTAGTGGCTGCAAATCTTCAAGGACATCTCTGAAATATTCCCGAAATGTAGAGAAAACAATTAAAAAAAACATACACCACTTGATTCACTATTCACAACTGAAGTAAAACAAAAAACATCGGTAAAATAAAAGTAGAAACGAAATAATGATGTTGTAGTTGAACAGTTAAGATCTTTTAGGTTTTAAACTTCAATAAAAACAAGTATAACCAGACAATTCAAATTTATATTTGATGAATACGGCATGGATAAAAATGACTTACTACTTTCTCAACTGATTTATCCAGTGAGAAGATACAGTAAGTTGATTTATATATATAAAGTAAGTACACAGATTTTCTATCAGAACTTTAAAAAAGTGACACAGGCGCAAGCCTCAAAAAGAATGCGAAGTTTACCACAGTTACAGATACGTTTTACTGGTCAATAATAACAAACACGAAACCTAAGTTTAAGGCTCCGCTTAACATTTAACATCGTTTAATTTGTGCTAATGGTTACGTAACACGATTAAGACTACAAATCTCTATTGTTCAAAATTTGGCAACCAATCCACGTATGCATAGATAAAAGGGATAAAATATTTCAAGTGACTTTTATGAGTACTTCATACAGAGTTTTGGGATTAATTCATTATTTCTGAAAGTGAAAATTATGCTGTTTAAATCCTTTCTTTTCCCCGGTGGAATAAGAAAAGACAAACTAGGATGTGTTAAAACAATGACCAAATTAGACTTCACCGATAAGCTAGATTCTAAAAAAGAAGGCGGACTTCAACAAAGTATTAAGGACAACTCTAGAAGCAATGAAAATACAAAAATCGTTAAAATATAAACAGCAATAGTTATTTTTTTTACTGTATTAGATTTATTGCAATTCATTTGCAATTATGCGTAAATTACCTGAAAGCCGCTGGATTTATCCGACCGAGACCGCCAATTGCTGAATCGCGTATCTCGGGTTGCTCGCATCTTAACAACGGTACTAACAACTTCACTAAGTCTCGGGCGTTCACTTTACCATAGGATGCTGAATGTTTTAAATCTGTTGAATTCGGCCAATTAGAGCATGGAGAGTTGGACATCGTTGCACGAGCAGTTGACGAATTTGCACTGGAATCTGTTGTTTGACTTTGTATTTCATCTGGCTGGGTAGGTGATCGAGAACTGTCACGACAACTAAAAGGGAACACAGATAACAATTCTTTATGTCATGAAAAAGTAAGCAACTTTCAATAAAAACAGTCAATCTGATAATGGTGGTGCTATACTGTGAATTTCAAAAAGTCAGAATTCATCAGACAAAGGATTCAGGGTTTGAACCATGTGAAGTAGCTCACATAACGGGAAGAATCCAAACTTAAGAAAACAGTAGATGAAAACATTCAACATAATACTAACTTATCATCTAAGATAAATTTGGTGGTCTCTCATAATCATGCCAAACACTAAAATGTTCCTTTGGTGACACACTAACTAAACGGATCTGTATTCACGTTGGCGTTGGAATTCTTATTCAAACTCGAATAATGGAACGTTATCAGATAAGTAATTGGAGCACAACAATGAAGTCCGTTTTTGAATCGTGGTTAGATATTTAGAGGCAATCGGAAGCAAGTCTTGGACCTATATTTCGTGCTTGCTGGCACTCGTCAGCAATTTTGAAGGAACTCATGTCCCTTCTGACATTCGAAACCTAAGTCCAAAAGTTCCAGCTGACTGCCTCTAACCATTTAGTATCAAAAATTTAATGGCGAGCTACCTAGTATGGTGGCCACATTGCAAACTTGACTCATATAATTCAGTCTGCACCAAACAAAGGACTAGATACGTGACACTGGTTACTAACTGATTTCCAATCAAAGTTTTCTTCAATGAACAGTTCCACAAAACAAATGTTCTAATGCAGTCACTCGGAACTAATCTCTTATGCACACAGCTTATTAGCCGGACCTATTGTGCAACACCGGATGATACTACCCCCTTGTCTAGCCTAAAGTAGGTGGGGCGAGATTCGAAACCTTGAAATACAAGCTGAAAGTCAAATACTTAGGCTAATGAGCCGCAACCGTACAGAAAAAACCAAATGCACACAGTGAAAGATTCATTCCTATTTATCAACCAGAAATTCAATACTAAAATAATAGGCATTCGGAGCTGTTCGAGTTACAAGGAACAAACAAATCAAGATACAAAAGTATGTAGCAAGTTCGCCCTGTTCATGTTTGACCAGCATCAAACTACTGTTATCAATACTTTTGATGAAAATCTGACTTTTAAACGATGTGCCAATAAAAAGAAATCCTACTAATCAGCCTTACTAGTAAGAATATACGACTATAACTCTTGTGAACTCTCATCTTTCTATGAAGAAAAATCAACTGGATATTTCCGCTTAAAAAAGCTAGTGAAAGTTGACAAAAATTTACTTCTCTATTCAATTCAAGGTAAGACATTGTGAAAAGATAATGAGAAGAACTGAACTGATAATTGAATCTCACCTATATGAGACAAACATTGACACGAAGAAAATTAACAAACATATACATTAAAACGATCATATTAGGACATAATGAAGTACTATGGTATGCAATCAAATTGAACTTTAATTATAATTCTCGATTTATAAAGTGTATAAGTAAACTAGCTGACAGAAATGCTCTTTGAACGTCAAACAAATGGGTTTGAAGTAACAAATTCATTTACTACAACCAGCAGAATTACTCAAAAATATAAAGTACTGCATTTTTAGTTAACTTAGTCACGAACATTCATTTCATCAGGATAAAATAAAGATTTTCTAAAAAATAACACTTCACTCACTGAAAAGTATCTCGTTTTGCACCACTGTCTGGTGAATGCTTTTGCACACGTAACTCAGGCTGATAGCATGTATCTGGAGGTTTGGAAATTCGAATACCAGTAGAACTTGGTGCTATACAACATCCAACAACAACATAATTGTGCCATAATGGAACAAACTGTTCACGTTCATTAGCAGGTTTCTTACTCGCAGTTCGCAGTAGGGATGACGCTCTATTTTCAGCTATCTGTGCGCTAAAACAGTAAAAACAATGATCACCATCAGGTACAGGAGAAGGCATAGTTGGAAATATACCATGCTATGTAAGAAGAAAGTGTGGAGGACCATTGTGATTACCAACATTATTTATACAAGCTAATAATGGTTTCAATCACAAACACAGACATTTCATCGTTAAAAGAGGATCACTTATACCATAACCAAATCACAATTTGAAACGACAGCTAGACAGTCAAACTTTGTGTAATGAGCATACGCATCGGATAGAAATCCAGATAGATGAACACGGAACGTCAAATGATGGTGTATCTTAATAGCACAAAAAAATGACAGCAAATAAGTAGAACGACGTGAGGATGAAGTTTAAAATAGCTACAAAAACTAACTCAGTGCTCAAAATAAGTTGCCCACCTTGGATCGATTAATGGAAATAGAGCGCTGATTCTCTGAAAAAGTATGGACCAAGCAGACTTGATAGCCATAGGACAACTGGCTGGTAAACTAGACGAACTAAACACAACAGAAAGACAAGTGCCCCAAACATCTGCGAGGACCACTCGTTCTTGTGTCGGCTGCATTATATAGGCTTGTTGTGTGTGCTGAACTTGTTGGTTGTACTGAGAAGGCCGTCTGTGCACAGGTGTTGTTGAAGAACAAGATTTAGAAGTTTGCACATTCTGAGAATCTAGAGTCCTTGAAGTTGCAAGTAATCCAGAGATTGATGGTCTAACTATTTTAATTAAAAGAAAAGAGAAATACAGCAACAGAATCACTATTTTTGTCTTGTCTGTACGTCTAAGGTTGATTTGTTCGGAGGAAGGAAAGACTGTCTAAATTCTTTTTGTTAGAAAAACATCCAATATATATATCTATGTATTTAAAATATGTTGATCAACATCATTATCACCAATTAGGAAAGACATTCAACGTTTTAAAAGAACAATACACTGGTATCATTTCATCAGTGGCACAGACTTCTAACGAAGATTATACTGGTGGAATTATACTGCTGATCATATAAGCTAAGTAGCTTTAGCATAAAACACACACCTTATGAACCCTGTTGGAAATCCACTGAAATCAATTTGCGTAAAACTCAGCTAACACCAATTTATCGTAATGTTTTCGAGTATTGGTTTGTAGGGATTCGGTTGTTTGGTTACAGTATTTCATCATGAGCTGATATCGGTTAGAAAACCATTGGAAAACCTGCAGGGAGTTCTGGACAGCTGTTTCGTCTTAGTTTGGGATTCTTCAGAAGTACGCATCCACCACATGGGTTCGAACCTAGGAACTTCTGGTTACAAAGTGAGCTAGGTCGTAGACCATTAGGCCACTCTGAACCGATTCAGTAGTCAGCCCATGAATTCTAACTTCTGCCAATTCATGACACAGTGCTACCACTTCGCAATGTCTTCTTCAATGAGTTAATTAATGCCTTACCTTCAACCTGCTTTTTTCGAATTCATTTCTAACGTGCATGATATTAATGTAAGTGGGAAGCAAATGCTATACTTAGATGTTGCATCACTGTTCACCACTTATGGAGACTGTGGAATTCATATGCCAACAGATACTAGAAAAACAGTTCAACATCGGAATTCCAGTTATTAGTCTGAAAGAGTTGCTTTTAAGATGAACTATGAATGTACACTTCACATTCAACAACCCTTATTGTAGACAAATCGATGGTATTGACATGGGTTCTCCGATGGGTTCAATTTAGCAGATTTTCTCGCTAAGCTTGAAAATGGTCCACTGAAACAAGTAATAGATAAAACTGATTCTTATTTTCGTTATGTTGATGATACGTTTATTATTCTAAATGTGAAAACTGACGAGAATGAAATGTTAATAAAATTTAGTGATCCGCATCCATCGCTCATCTTCACTTTTGAAGAACATGATGGTAGACTGCACTTCCTTGATGTCCAATTGAACAGAAGAGAGGATGGTTCACTCAGGAGAGATGCCTATAGAAAACCTGTGTAGGACAATACATACATTTCCTCAGTTTTGTACCAATCCGATACAAAATTAATTTGGTAAGATGCCTCACGAATAGAGCAAGATGACTCCCTAGAAAATGAGTTAGGATATATCCCAAATAAGCTGGTCCAAATGGGTTAACTTAGTAGATTTGTAAGGGGACACATAAGCACCAGGTACAATAAAGAGAAACTGACAACAGTTAAAAAGAAACAACTGTTCATGAAACTGCAATTTAATGAGGACGTGGCTAGCGAAGTCTTATATCTGAGATTATCGAGGACCACCCTTTGTTTGCCATTTTCCAGTCAACCAATTATGATTGCTCAAGAGAAAGACAAGCTACCCTGCTGTGCCACTTCTATGTGTATCCACAAATTTAGTTGCTCCCATGGAGAGAGAGCTATATGGGGCGAACAACTAGACAGCTTAGTAAACGCATTAATGAGCATCTTCCTTCATGGTTCGGAAAAGGCCAAATAAAATCTGTAGGAAGTTCTATTTTGGCTCATTCGATTGATAGCGGTCACCAATTGGACAGCAACAGTGCCTTCAAAGTTATCTATCGCATTCCATTGAGCCTTCCGAACGGAATTCGAATCCGCCTTTTACACATAGCCGAAGCTATGGGAATTAGAGTGAGAAGAATCCTAGTCTTTGCATACAAAAGAAGTTTGTTCTACCTTTGTCTCTCCCTTGGCCGAGGTGAATTCTAATCAAAAACCCTCTCACCCTTTCTTATTTTCCATTTCCTTTGAAATCTTATGATATTTATTTAAACTCTGATTATCTGTCCACTTCACCTTTAGTTTATATTACGTAACTTTTAAGATTTGACCTAATTGATTTATGGAATTGTCTACACATACTTTATTAGTACTACTACCTTTATTATTCTTATCGCCACCTGCATAAACCTTATTATGAATATTTTGTTATCACTATAATCGTTGTTATTAATGGCGGTCAAAACATTTACCACATTATCATGAGTATTATTATTATTATTACATGGTCCACAAAATCACTGTCATTGGTTAAAATTTTTATATATAAAGAGTTATGTAAATTAGAGTAAAGCCTGAAGAAGATCTAACTGGAAACAATACTGTACGCTTGTATGTCTTGTTCTAATATTAATAATGAGAATATTTAAAGATATAAAATAAGTAGCTTTTCAAAATCATCTAGGGCTTCATACTTGGAGACTTTAAAATAACTGACGAACGCATTTGACTTAACTATTATCTGGCTTTAACAAAAAAGTGCAAAATCTGTACGTCATAAGAGAGGTACTCGACCGATAACTGCTACCTTGCCGTGGTGGTCGGGCTTGAATGCCACAGTGACCCAACAAGCTAAACTGGCTGGGACTCATGTCCCTGCAGGTCCTACCATGTCAGGAAGGTTGTTTGGATAGCGGTTAGACTAAAAGCAGTTACCATGGGGTACATGGGCTCCAGAATTCAATCGGATCAAATGGCGTATGAACCCATATGGCTCACCGGCAACCATGGGAACGCAGCTCCGCTGCCTTGCGGATTAGATTCCAATTCAAAGGCTCGGGGGTGGTCCCTTAGGAAAACCACCTGCTTCGGTCTGGGCGTCCGGGCAGTATCTCAGCCCCCACACAATATTGTGTGGCGCATCTTTCTTGGTGCCATATTGTACCAAGTTTTTCTGCGTTTAAATAAATAATAAACATAAGATAGGTTGCTTTTAACACCAATACCAAAAATGTCATAATGATTTGATTACTTAAAAAAAAATCAAACAGTGAATGTAACTAGCATGAACACAATTCGAAATACAATATATGTCATATTTATTCATTCAAAATTATAAACATTAGAGCAAAACATTAGCAAATATTACAAGTTAGTTAAAATACTTCAATGACATAAAAATGAACACTTACATTATACAAACAGAAGTGATAAGACAAATCAAAACAACTTTATGACCTTGAAATATGTATACATAAAGTCATCTGGTATTTTAAACCAAGATATTCGATAGGTGAATAAGAAACGAGTAACGACTCAAGGTAAATCATTCACTTTATCTAGCTTGTTCACTAGTAGAGCTACTGTTCATCATTATAGGTCTTCAAGATGTTGGTCAACGACTTACGCAATCGATTTTCAACGAACGCTTTTCGGGTTCCGATCCCACTTCACCTACTTTATCCTAGGCAACCTTCACACGATAATTGTTTCATAGTTTGGCACGCTCAAAAGCAGATCCGCGTAACTTGGTTGCATCTGCGACCTCTCGCTTAATATATATATATATATATATATATATATATACCATGACCCGTTAGCATTACCAACCCTCATTTACGTTCTATGGCTAGGCAAACGCATATACAAGTAACCGCCAAGTTACTCTGAGTGGCATGAGTGCGTAAAAACTAGTGCACACAATATAATGTAACTTGTGTAGTAACTTTGTCCACAGGTTAATATATGGTGCATGGCATATACAGCAGAACTGACACACCAAAATGAAAAGAGAAATAATATTTTCCTCAAATACTTCATAAACATCCGTTCACAAAAACTGGGTCCAAAAATGAAACGGTTCAGAGACTGTTCAAGTTTTCCAATACCTAGACTGAAACCAAAAAGTTATATCAACAATGCTTCAGATAATAGAAACTTACGATATAAAGATTAGTACTTAGATTGAGCCGTCTGAAAAAAAGCGTTGAGTCATTTTGGTAAAACGTCTGAATGATTACAATATGTGCTGACGACAGGTATAATAGTGTATTCACACATCATAAAGATATCAAAATAGTAAGAGCCAAAAGGTAAAGTTAGAAAGAGTGATAGAATAGGCAGTGAAGTGGTATTTGAAGCGGCATTGCAAGTAGTCAGCATTGCCAAATACACTCTCTCTAGTCAACAGAGTATCTTTGAACATGATTTCAACCCAGACAGTACAATTAAGAGGCCTATTTATTTACATCACTCATTGTTACAAGATATCTGTTGTAACTTGAATAATTTAGTGAACAGGTAGTTTCCCTCAGCAGTGTGTGATGTAGGTTTGATTCTGAAAGGGAACATGAGTTTATGTCATTGACGAGTGCAAACAACAAGGTTGACACCTACCGACTAACTCTTGATTATTTTTTATTTTATTCTTTTAATTTGATTATAACTGGAAACCACACAGTATTATTGGTACAAGTATGGAATTTTCAGCATGTGATATCGGTAGCCCAAATTCTGCAGGCCGATCATTGATATCAGGTGTGCATCGGCAGGGGATCGAACCCCGGACCATGTGCATGGTCGGCGAGAGTCCTAACCGCTGTGCCACCGACTCCCAATTTTAAATCGAAAGATTAGAAGTATGAACATAGACACCGAGAATAATACGATCAAAAGCACAATCACGGCTATTTCAGTTGACTGACAGTGTAAACTAGCACGAATGTGAATTGCTTTACTTCCCTCAAAACCACAACCGAAGTTTTAAAATATCTAAACACAAAATTATAACCAGTGAATGAAAGTAGTCTGAGACACAGTTTTAAACAATCAAGGAAAAGCATTGAAAGTTTTCAACTTGAGAAGACCAGCCTATTCGTATGAAACATACATATAGCAGTGCAAATCAAGGGAACAATGAAGAGAAGTTTCTCAAATAAAAAACACTACCCTGACTTCCGCTATCGTGTTTTCAATAATAATCAGGCAACAAAAGGTGGCAACCAAGTTTATCAGC